GATCTTTTTCGCAGTTGAGATTCGACTTCGAAAAGCAAGAGCATGGTATGAAATTTAATTTTCTGTGCTTATTGTAGATCCAGAGGTATTGATGATGGCTTTGAATCCAGTGTCAAAGGAGGCCAAGGCGTCCAAGACAAGGTTGGTCTTTTTCTCTTTTCCCGACTTAAGACGATGGGACTGAGCTTGAGAAGAGAGGTCGTACCGTCGTTTGCACGAATCCTTCTTCACACGTCCCTGGGACGTCAAATGCTGAGACCGGTGCTGCGCTCGGAGATCGGACATTGCGTGGCATGACGACCAAGCTCGGGATCCCAGTAAGGAGTTTTTGCTCTTTTTTTTTCTTCTTTCTCGTGAGATGATCTTTGTTGTCGTCTATTCTAGTGGAGGGTTTCATGGATGCCGAAATGGATCACAAGCTTATGGTATCCTCTCCCGCATGAAGGAAATTATGGGTGATAAGTTTTGACTTGAGCTTCTCTATGACTACAGTGATCACTTCTTGTATCAGACTCTAATACGCTTCGCCAAGAGCAAAAGGTATAATTTGACCCGCAGTCTTGAGACAGTGCCGTGGTTTAGGTGAATCTAACCTGACATTATTGGTTGTTGTTATGTACCGATCCGGGTAAGCTATTCTTTTTTCTCTTGATTTCCACAACACTGACAGTTTATTATGAGGAGCTTAACCAGTGTTGCGAGAAGGAACCTGGAACCAGAGCAAAGGCATATTAAAACACGATTCCGGGCATAGCTGACATTGTCGCCAGAGTAGCGCTTGGACGATTTGTCATTTTCGTTTGTACATCATCACGCAAGTCATTTGATCATATTCTCTTGATAAATGCTTTAGAGCTCTTTCAAGACGATCACATCATCTTGTGAAAGGTACGCACGGACATGAAAGGTGAGTCTGATTAGCGCACTACTTTGTTGGCGAGTTCTCATTTCTTACTTACAGAATGCCGCTTCGATTCGGCCGTCACGTCGTAACAGGAAGAGCCGACGCTTCGATTAAGCTGCATTTGGTCTTTTTTAGTGTTCATCTTTTTTCCTCATCTTGACCTGCTCGTTCGGACGAGGACGATGCACCAGAGTCTTCCACCTTGTTTATTTAATCTCAGGACATCTCTCGATTTCACTCAAGTAAGCAAATTAGCCTTTGAAACTCCTCTAATGTGAATTGATGACTACAGGCACTTGCCGAGCTGTCAAAGTGATTCAAGTAAGCTGGTTTTCGTGGAACTTGGACAGTGGTTTTCCTTTTCAGGATGGGGAGTTTTTTCTTGCTGGTAAGGAAGTTCTAAGTTCACGCTAATAGGATACACGCTTCAGTGGTATGGAAGCATTCTCAACCAGGTGCGCTATGCTTGATATTTCTGTGTTACAGCAAGCAAGTTCGGGATGGAAAATTTTCAGATGAAGCCACAAGAAAAGATCAGAGACTACTTCTTGCTGGCCACTTTGGGATGTAGGCAGCGAATCAAACGTTAAACCAGTACTCTGCACTCACAGCGAAAAACGATCATCCAGATCCAGTGACGCCTTGTTTCCACTACAATTGTCTTTTACTTCTTTTAAAGCATGATTGATTGTTCCTTCTCGTTCAACACAGTGCGCACAGGCCTGTTAATTCAAAGATCGCGATATAGAAACAAGAGAGTTTTCGGATTTGCTCACCTCCATAGCACTTTGAAACGAAGCTTACAAAGTAGATGACCTGAACTGCAACAGCCAAACAAGCTCCCACGATATGGAGAATTTGGTACTCGACGATGGAGCTAAAAATCAACCACGCAACTCCAGAGAGCAACGAGCAAGCAGAAGCTATCACCGTGGAGGCCTCATGAGTGAACAGGAGGAGACATATCACCCTCATCACGAAAGGAACTACAGCTGAGACCGTGTAAACAGCTGTTGTGGCCCAGCCCTTCTTTCGTTTCAAACGACGACATGCGAGGCCCATGAAAGGGTAGAAGAACGCGATGAGAGCTGTGAGCAGTATCGTCATACACCCTTTCCTCCGCTGCTTCTCGATGTGTCCAAGCCCTACCAGGAATGAATGCAGGAAACAAAAGGCCGATGCGGCACAGATCGCGGTGGCAATGAGAGCGAGATCGTGCCCGTCTTGTGTCCACTTTTGACACATCGAGATGGCATTTGCCAGTGACAAGAAGGAAGTAAGCAGTGCGAGTGCCCTCTGAGATTGTGAAGGGCTGGCAGGGATTACCTCCGCTTGGGACTGTGCTGTTGCGGCCTGGTCCATCTCCACTGCCACCAATCCTCCAGCTATGGCTTGGGGCTCCTCCCCCGTCTCTAGCTCCTCATTCGTGGCCGCCGTTGTGCCATGCTTGCGCCTCCTCAGAATGTTCCTTGCCTGAGCTGTTGCCCTCGCAATGCAGCTCTCCACAGCTAGTTGTCTGGCACGCAGCCATAGCTGGATTGCCGCTACCGTGCTCTCAACCCAACTGGACAAAACGATCACAGAAGACGAGAGAAACGTAAATCCTGATGCAGCAAGACCGAGAAGGAACCACCGCGAAGATGTGATCTTGTCATCGCTGATGCTAGATCTCGCCTCATGGGCAAAGACATCCAGATCCACAGGCGAGGAGAATCCAGGAGAGAATCTAGGTAGAAACTAGCCATGGCCACAAGCGAGAGGAGGAGCGTCTTTGCTAAAACCCCCATCCTGCGATACCTAGGAAATGCTGTGTAACCTCGGAACTGCGTGTTATGTTTCTGTGAAGAAACGCACTAGATCAGCGCGAGTGTTTGCAGCTCATCCAATCTGCAAGAAACCTCCACTCCATCAAGCAAATCCACGCTAGCAGAGCTTATTTTTTCTGCAGCAAAAGACCTTTGCTTGTTCTTCATGTCGCTGGAGTTTTCATTTGTTGATAGTGTGTGTGAAAAGAACAAAGTTTCAATGACTGTGAAGAATTGAGAGGCAGGCAGCAACGTACCCAATCAAGAAAAATCTTGGTAGTTGCAGTTCTCGGGCAGTACTGCAGAAGTACAGAGCTGCTGTTGCTAAGCATCCAAAAAGCGAGAGAGATCCGGCCTTTTTGTCCGCCACGACGTGGACAAAATGCTATTGCAGGAGGACGAGAAAAATCAAGATCAGTATTGTCTTTCATGAAAGATATAACTGTGTAGCTCTATCTCGTTAGCTCCAAATCTCGTAGGATCATCCTCGTATCCGAGGCACTGCACGGAAGTGATCAGCGTCTTCTTCCAGGATCTCTCCTTCTATTGGTGGCCTGAGGAGTAAAGAACAGAAAGTTGCTGGATGCGAAGGCAAACACAATATGTTATCCAGTTAAATAAACACAAACTTTGAGGCACAGGCACCAAAGTACAGTATCTTAACGTGTCTAATAAAAAAAGTCTTCATTTCAGATATCTGCAGAAGTTCAGTCTGCTGCTTCATTTAATGACTGCTTCAGGTGTCCAAAAAGTGCTTCCACACCTCCCGGAATGTCTACGCCATAGTGACGTTAATTCTCGCTATGGACTTCTTACTGCCAAGAACAACAAAAAAATCGACAGCAGTAATTAATGATCGTGACCTGCTTGAGGAGTAAAGCACATACATTGCAGAGAATGTCCTGTCTGTATGTTTCCAGTGTGAGACAGGGAAGTAAGATGTCTAGAAACGTTTTCATGTACCTGAGCAACGAAGAGCAATCCCTGTTGGACACGGGTCCTGCGCTTCTCCTTTTCTTCCAGCTCGGATGAGCTTCCACGCATCTTCCAAAAGACTATCTTCCAGTTTCTGCGATAAATATGATACATGTAAGAAGAGGACCAGTAAGAGCGTAGTACCTGATCTTCAGGATGCAACTGTAAGCCTTCTCGAGTTGGAGCATCAGTGTCGAACAGAGTGAGTTCCAATATTTTTTTGATAGCCTGTTTTGTTTGATCCCACAAGCCTAGCCTCTAAGCCCGCATCCTATCCCCTCCTCTGTAACGATAACATTTGCACACATATACTCAATCGAAGAGCATTACCTTCTTTTCTAAATCCAATTCCTTGGACGCCAGACTCTCGAGACAAGACGAGGGCATGTTTGAGCAGTTGCACCGGTTCTTATAAACGCGTGGTTGCTTTCTGCCAAACATTTTTTCTTAGGTGAAACCACAAAAGGAAGAGAACATAGAAAATACCTGATTCTCTTCCGTGATATCCTCTAAGAAACAGTAAAGTCAGTCCCGTTGAAACTTAATAAGCGACGCTACCTTTTCCATACAAATGGAAGTGCGCATGACTGAAGTAGAGCCCTGTCTTCTATAGCTCGATGCTTCGTAGTTGCCTCGTCTCTGTAAAGAAAAAGCTGCTGAGTTCCAGTCGTTCCCAGAAAATTGTTTCACCTGACTGCCTGCGCTAGATCCCGGCAAATGTCTTCAAACTCGCTCAAGAGCTCGGGCAGAGACGCGAAGCCTGCCAAAGAAAAACACAAGCAGAGTTGTATGACTTGAGAAACGAAAGTGGTAGACCGGGTAGACATGTATCCACGCCAGAAGCAGAGCGCTCAAATGAATCTTGGAAGATGCCGTGTCCTGTGGATTGTCGCATTTCACATTCTCAGAGAGGACGAGAAAAACATACCTGTATCCCCGAGATTTTTGTCCATCCTAAAAGCCCTAAATCCTAGATTTACTCTTATTTTCCCGTTTGCAGCAATATCATGATTTTAAACGGAAGAAAACAGAGAATTTCTGGGAAAACCCTTATTCAGTATAAGCTAGCTAAAAGAATTTATAATTTAAAACATTTTAATTATTTATTTAATGCGAAATATTTTTTCAAATTAGAAAAATAAATTAAATTGTATTAAAACTGTAATTCTCTGAAATGCTTATAGAATTATATATTGTTTTAATATTTTAAATTAACCTCTTTGATCGAATGCACCACTGGAATCTCGTGTAACGTGGACGTGAAATCCTATATCCGGAGCTCCAATATCGGGCAGGACAAGAAGATCTTCAATTCCATGGCGGATCATGACATCGTCTCTTGGAAATCGCCAATTACACTGTATGCCCAGTTCGGGCAACTTGAGCTTGCCAAGACACGTTTGACGGGATGGAGTTTCATGATCTTGTCTCGTGGAACTCGATGATCGCTGGATATGTGGCAGCATCCACTGTCAGGCGATGATCGATCGTGTCCCAGAGCGCCAGGCCGTGATATGGAACTCAATGATCACTGCGCTCGCGCAGGGGCAAAACGAGGCAGCAAAATCGATCTTTGATAGAATGCCGGCCGTGTCGTGGACGAATCTACTGCTGTGCTACGCGCAGAATGATTCCTGGAAAAATTGGACAGGGCGTTCCATCGGCTCCCCTTCACCAACGCAGTGGCAAGAACTATGAGAATACCCAAAGAGGAGATTTTGCCAACGCAAGAGAGATCTTTGATTCCATGCCGGATCAGGACGTGGTGGCATGGACGGCGATGGTGCAGGCTTACTGCCACCAAGGACGAAGAACATCTTTGATCAAGTGTTGGAGAAGAATCTAGTCTCGTGGAGCTGCTTCTCGCGTATGCCGAGAATGGGCACTTTGACGGGGCAGTGAGGTTCTTCCACGAGATCCCGCACAAGACCATCGTCTGCTGGACAGCTCTCATGCAAATTTACGTCAATTTGGGCCATCTCGGCACCGCCAGGAGTGTGATTAAGAGCATGAAGATGCTCAGCTTGGGACGACGGGCACTACGATCGAGCAGTGGAAGTCTTCCATCTTATGAATCTCGAGGGCGTCAAGCTGGACAAGGTGACGTTCCGGAGCGTTTTAACTTCGTGCAGCCATTGCCAAGGGCTGGGAGCACTTCGTCTCAATCAGCCGAGACTTTGAGATGGTGCCGAGGAGAGAACGCTATTGCTGCATGAAGAACTCTGAGTGCGAAGGAGCTCATCAACTCGATGCCATTCCTTCCAGACATGGTGATCTGGATGTCGCTGCTGGGAGCTTGCTGCCTCTTCTGCCGCGGATTGTTGCCCATTTATCATTGTTCCCACTCCCATCTGTTGTGTTGCTTGTTTGTGGTGATTGGAGTATGGCCCTGCAAGTTTGGTGTCATCTGTTCTGTTGTTTCCTTTCATTTTCCAGCTCCAACAACACAAGTATGCTTTCATTGACAAGTGTTCGCCTCTGGACCTCCATCTATTCCAGGAACCTGGTTATCTCCGCTGCGTTTTCAGGTGTCCCAAGGATGTTAGCTACAGGCATATCCCATGGGATCGGCCTGAGTCGGAACTCATCGTATCCTGAGCATTCCTTGACCGTATGTGTTACTGTCTCGACGGACATGCCACACACTGGGCAAAGCTGTAGATGTCGCGGAATCTTTGCTGCTCTTGTTCTTCGTCCTAGTTCCACGAGTAGTCTATGATCACCTGTTCTGTAACGTGCAAGGAGTTTCTGTCGCCAGGGAAAGAGCTGATCATAAAGAGCCGTTCCCACCTGTTCGTTTGGGTTGATCGCCTCCACATAGAGCTTGTATTTTGTGTGGTTCTTCTGGGCTTGGATCCATCTTATTAGCACGATGTGTGTCCAGAATTCAAGATCTTCATGGAATCGTTCTGTGATGTTGAGATTCAGACCGACTCTTTTGGTCCTGTTTCATGTCATGCCACCAGCCGCCTGTCTGTCCTGTGACTGCCAACTTCTGCTCTTTCAGATGTAGATGATCGTGCGAGTATTTCTAGGGAAAAGAGGCCTGTCTCCATGGTCACATATGGCACAAGGTTGATGCTAAATTCTTCCCAAATGAAACTTCGTTGCACAGCCTCGACTTTGTCCTACTCCTTCGCTAGCAGGCCTGGCCCCATATCTCAGCGCCATAAAGCGCCACTATCCTTACTTTTATGGTCTTCTTCACAGCACATCCCTTGTAATAGTCCAATTGTAAGCTGTGGATGCTGCTTTCCATCGTTCTGTGACTCCGAATTTCCATGGCCTCAACTTTGTTCCAGAATGCAATGCAAAGGTTCCTCATATGTTAGTGTCATGGGGAAAAGCTTTGGTGGAGGGCTATACTTGATGATCGTGGCTCAATCAACAAATTTCAATAATGGAATAATATTTTATGATAGTGTAATATTACCTTCAATAATATATCCCTGAGTGAACAAAACAAATTGACAATATTGAATTGCAAAGAATTTTGGCCCAATTTTTGCATAAGCCAGGAAATCCATTATAAAACCCTAGCCAAGGTGCAATCTCTTTGACAATAAAAACCATTTGGGCAATTTTCTTGTGATGTAGATGGTAAAAACATAAAGACTAAGTCAAAAAGCTACCACAATTTAATAGTCTTATTTGTCAACCCTTAATTATAGAGATCTTATATTAATATATAGAGTTTTTGTAGGGCTAAGGTTTGTAAACCCTAGGGCATTAAATCTGAATTTGCATATACATTGAGTTGAAAATGATATAAATGGTAGTTTTTGTTTTTAAAATAATTTTTTCTACTATAAGATGTGTTTTGTTAAACCAATATATATTTTATATTCTTGTTTTACTGTTTCTTTCTTTTTTTAAAAATTAAGTTTTGTTTTTCTAAAAGCTGCATGATCCCTTGGAATATTGGATATAAGCTTGAAATACTTAAAATTTTAAGTTCAATTAGTTCTTGGAATTCAACTATTGAGTTTTTATTTTATTTTTTATATATCTTAACTATTTTGTCTTATCTAATTTCTTCAATCAAATTGATATCAGTGCTAATATATGATGGGTAAATGCTTGTGCACGTTATTTAAATATTACATTTGTTTATACAAGAACTAACGTCAACACTATATTACAAAAAGGAAGATAAATTTTTTATTTTTTATTTTATTTTATTGCAATGTCATTTATAAATCTCAAAGTTTGAACATCATGTGAAAGCATCCATTTACCTAAATATTGCCACCATAAATTGTAATAGATAACACACTATTATATTTTACAAGTGGCATAACAACAACAAAAATTTTCTTCATAAGTCATTAAATGAATATTTCCGTTAATTAATTAATCTATCATTTCTTTTAAGGCTACACTATTTCTTTTTCAAGCCAACTCAATGATCTTATCTCATTAAACACTAACATTTATTGTTGCATACAATTATATAATAATTTTGGTGAAATTTTTTCTTTATGATAAACATTTCCTTCACAAAAAAATTTATTGTATACATTAATATGTCACTCACTTGCATCCCTTTGTGGCATTATTAGTAGTGTTTCCCTCTAGCATATTTACAATAATTTTAACACTTTTTAATATATTTATAAAGATTTTAACATTATCCAGATTGATTTTGGTTGCTTATTGACTATTAATTTGAGCTTTGTGATACCCCTAAATACCATTGCATACTAAATTTACTCTATAGCAAAATATTGCTAGCGCCATAAAAATAACAAATGAGGAGAGCATTGAAAGAAATCATAACCAGAAGATTCATGTTTCAGTGTTTTCATTGTTAAAAAATATATGTGTTTAGTGTTGAAATAGATCAAAAAAATTGTTAATATCAATGGTATATAAAAATATAATTTACTCAAATAATATAATGAAAATTGTAAATGCAATCATACCCACTCTCTCTTTTAATTTTAACATTTCAATTAAATATGATAGAAAAAATAATTTGAAAAACATGAAAACCATCATTTATATCATTTTTTAATTCAATTTACATATAAATCATATTTAAAAGTGTGCATTAAATATTGCAATAATGAACACAAATCCGCTAGCCTACAAAACTCCATATATTAGTATATTATGAAATATGAGTTCTTTCACGTTTTTTTTCCAGTTATTTAAATTATTTATAATTAAAACTTTAAAAGTTGGGTAATAGGACTTTTAGATTTTTTTTCACTATTCACATCAAAAGTGGTCTTAACAAGGAATATAGTATTATGATTCTTCATCCTCATTTAGCAAAAAACTTGGCAATCACTTTGAAGAGCCCAAAAACAAAAAAAAAACTTTAAAAAATAATAATTAAGTGGTAAAAATTATTATAATCACTACTCCACTTCACTATGATAATCGAATTGAGAGTGGAAAGTCCTAAGAGTATCAAAAGAGGGGGATAAAGGATTCACTAAATTATCACTTATAAATCATAAAATTTAAACATATATATGAAGAGTATCACTTACTTAAACATTGGCACCATCAGTAACAATAAATAACATATCACTATTTTTTGCAAGTGGTATAACAACAATAAATGTTTCCCTCATAAAATATTTCCCTTTATTAATTAATCCTTTTTTTTTATGGTTGCACTATCTTCTTCACTATCTCTTTGAGCCACGTTATCTCATTGAGTAATTAAATAATAAAAATCAATAACACTATTATTAAGTAAATTAAATGTTGTTGAATGTAATCATATAACAATTTTAGTGAATTTTTTATGTTTTGATGGATATTTCTTTCACAAAAAAACTCATTACATATATTAGTGTATCATTTATTTGCATCTTTTAGTGGCACCGTCATCTCCCTTTAGCACATCCACAATAATTTTAACACTATTGAATATATTTATAATGATATTTTCCTAAAAATCCAAGAATGAAATTGAATTCATCTTTAGAGAAAACTATTATTCATCTTTACAAGTATTTTAATTAAATTGTTTTCATTATTTCTTTTAATAACTTGATTGAATACATTTAGTACTAGATATGAGTTTGATATATGTAAGTTTTAAAATTCAAATAGTTCTTGGTTTATCCTTCAAGTTTTTAATTATATATATATATATAAACAATACTTTTATATATAGTTTAGTTTCTTGCTAAGCACTTATAAATCTGAATGGTATGATAAATTTTTCCAAAGATGATTTCAACCTGAATTTTGCAAGAAAGTACTATAAAAGTACTTATAAAAATTAGTAATAACAACAATTCATAAACTTATAACTAAAGTTAACTTATGTTTTGCAATTAATCCAAGCTAGATACTTAAATAAAGTTGGAACTTTCTCATTGTCATCCTTGAAGCACAATTGATTCATCTTCAACTTGGCTTAAACTTGCTATTGTCTTATAATTTTATTAATAATTTTTAAAACTCTACTTTGGGTATATATCTTGTTTCATCATGAATTGAATTATCAACTAAATAATCTAGTTTCTTATTTACTATATGTTATTATTATTTTGTGTTAGATTGATATAACTGGAAATGTGGATTTTTCTTAGTTGAAACACATTAGGAGATGGACTATGCAATGTCATAGAAGTTATTACTATTGCATTTGCAAATGTACTTCTCTTCATTATCTTCTTTTTAGAAAGTAGCTCTAATGTTATCTCTAGTTTAGGAGTGTTTAGCTTCTGAGTGTAGGAGTCCACATCCCATGCCTTCCTCAGTAAGGATAACAATTGTAGACACGCATATACTCAAATGACCTTCTTTTCTAAATCCAATTCCTTGGACCCCGAGCTCTTTTGGCATAGAACCCTGTCTTCTACAGCTCGATGCTTCGTGTCTGTAAGGACACAAGCAAGCTCGGAGGGACTTGGGCAAGGAAGCCAAAATCAAAGAAAAAAGAAAGCCAATGACCTCAATACTATCAACTGCGTTGGTGAGAGCTTTCATGCAAATCGGGAATTTGGTGGAGGCTCGAGGTGTGTTTGAGACAATGGTGACGAGGGACTTGGATTCGTGGACAACAATAGTGTCGGGCACAGCTCGAGCCTCGATCACGCGGCCATTGCGAGCGTAATCGTGCATCAAACTCGTCCAGAACTTCTCCTGCGGGACGCTGTCAAACGATCGCATCTTGCGTGATGGAAGCATATGCCCAAACTGAGCAAGACATCCATCTCTTCCACGAGGCCACGCTCGATGGTGGAGTGAGGATCGATCCTGTGTCGTTCATCACCATCCTCTCGGCTTGCAGCCATCTGGGAAAGATCCAAATCGCCCGCGCAATGTCGGGCGATCACAGGGCTAGAGAGCGGCATTTCCCGGTGGATCTCGTGAGGGCTGCGCGGCCTATTTTCTTCGATCGAATGTGCCCGACGTGAGGGAGGGATTCCCAATACTTTGGCTTTGGTGTTGGAAACAACATGACATTAATATAATATACATATAATCTCACTTCTTATATAGATAAGTTAAATATAATCTCTAAAATTAGCTAATAATATCTTACCTGTATATATTTATGGTTTTACTTTTATTGGATTTTTCATTTTCTTGTAATTCAATGCCTTTTGTGAAAATATTTTAGATACTAAATTATACATAGTGACTTAATAGAAACACAATACTAATTTATGATTAAATAGATAGATAGATAGCTGTTTATATTATAAATATCAGGGAATACAAATGAATAAATTCAGTCATGATTACAAGTGATAGGTGCACAATTCTTATGCAGGGACACCATCAGTTATGAGGTGAGAAATGCAGTAATGGTCTTTTTACCCTATTTCCATAGCACTTCAAATTTTGAAGGTCATAAACGAGTATATAAGTATTCTCAATTTGATTTTATTTATTATAGTCTTTGGTAAGTGCATTGGTTTACCTTCTTTCGTTCTTGGGGTCTCTGCTGGGGTGAAGAAGGCAAACCGAGAAACAAAATCCCCTCCATTCGATTGCCTCACACGGTCACTTTCTTTGCCGTGACAGAGTTTATGATCGTTGCAAACTCAGCCCCCTGCAAGAAGTAAAGATAATTGTCACCACTTTCACAAAGCTCATACCTTTAGAGAAGCGCCCCCTACAAGGAATCCATCAATGTCCGCCTGCTTTGCCAATTCGCTGGAGTTGGCTCCATTCACGGAGCCTGTCAAGAAATTAAATAATGGATCAATCAATCGCCCAAAAGTGAAATGGACATCTTTCAATCATGCAAGCTTGGAAAAACTCACATCAATCATGCAACCTTGGAGAAAACAAGATAAGCTTGGGCAAGAGAATTCACGTACCTCCGTAGATAATGCGGGTCTTCGAAGCAACTTCAGTGGATGCGTTGTCCGTGAGCCATTTTCTAATGGCAGCATGGACTTCCTGCGCTTGCTGCGGTGTTGCGACTTTGCCGGTACCGATAGCCCATACAGGCTCGTACGCAATGACCACGTTGTCCCAGCCAGAAATCGCCTCTACAAGAGAGTAACGTTGCAAAACAAAAGCTTCAGCGAAACAAACAAAAGAAACAAGTTTTCATACCAGCGAAAGCTTTGAGCTGCTCAAAGACCACATCAAATGTCTTTCCAGCCTCGCGCTCTTCCAGTTTCTCTCCGACGCATGCGATCACTCCGAGGCCCTTTTCCAGAGCATAAGCGCTCTTCTTGCCAATAAACTACACAGGAAAACACGATGACCAAGTCAATCCAAAACAAAAAAACAAGTTAAACAAAGACTTACGTCGTTTGCCTCGCCAAGGATGTGACGCCTTTCAGAGTGACCATGGATGACCCACTTGCAGCCGATGTCACTCAATTGCTCGGCACTACCAGGCAAGAAAAATTAATACAGGAACAACAAGATAAAATCGCTTTCCTGCCTACCTGATCTCTCCAGTGAACGCTCCTCCTTTTCCAATCCACGAGTTCTGGCCAGAGACCTCAATGCCATTGGAAATGGACCCGATAACTTGGTCGAGATAGACAAATGGAGGTGACACAACCACATCTAAAAAATATATCGAGTTACAACCTGATTGATCGAGATAAACAACAGTACTCACCAACATCGCTTTCAAGCTTTGCACTATTTAGCTCGGACACGAGCTTGGCAATGGACTCCTTGGTACCGTTCTAGAAAAGCCAATAAAGAAAACGTTAAGACCCACAGTGGATAGACACGAAGCACCAGAAAAAAAAACGCAAAAAAGAAAAAGCTACTTACGCATTTCCAGTTTCCTCCAACGAAGAACTGTCAAGGAAAGAAGAACGCATCGAATCAGAACGAGCAAAATCGAAGAAGAAATCTACTAATGTAAGATCCATGAGCCTAAATTTCATCCAAAAAGCAAAAGAGGGATCCATGCACGCATGCTTGCCTTTCCGGATCCGGCCATGGACACAACGCCTCTGGTCGAGGATGTAGAAGCTCCACACGCGATTGATTGCTGGACGAGGCGGAATCCCAAATCGGCGCACTGAGAGGACGCGCTCCGGAATGCAAGGCGCTGGACGCCGAGTCCGCAATGCCGAGGGCACGAGAAGACGCCGCTAGAAACCCTAAGCTTGGCAGCCTGAGATAGAGTGGGAGCTGCCGCCATAGCCTATCTAAGAGCTAAAAAACTTCTCGTCTTAGCTCTCTAAGCTTTTTCCGGGGCGTCAGGTGGACCTTATGTTTGAGAATCGCGGCGCATCTCCACCGCAAGACGGGGAGAATGCACGGCCCCGCCTTGGAATCTCCATCGTCCATCCTGTCGCGTTATGGACAGCCACCAGATACACCCATTCCTCTCAACTATCGGTCAAGGAAATCGTTTTTAAACTTTCTTACCAATGCCATGGTTCTTCATTTTCACCTGGGTGATAACAGACTTACCGAAGTAATCCCGGGGAAATGCGACCCATCCTGGCCATTGACAAGCTCGGGGAAGGGCCGATCAACGGTCCAGCCGGTCGCGATGGAATAGTGTGGAGGATCGCTTGGGCACGATGAAGATAGCGAAGGCTCTGGAAGAGGAAATATGTCGCCAATCCAAGACCCTCTCGAGCAGCTGGGGGACGCTGAAATATTTTATCCTCACCTCTATGGGAAGATCGAAAAAATCATTAGCCGCCTGCAAGGTCAATCACCGGATTTGAGTCCCGCTTGTGCCTCTACTAGCAAAGTCGGGATTCCACGCTTAAAATGTTTGCTACTCAATCAACCATAATCTAGCGATCATGAGAAGAGGAGGAGCTTAGACATTCTCTTGCAAAACCATTCAACGAGACATGGATCGCTAAGATAGCTTCGAGAGCTTCTACACCTACAGTTGCGGTCACTTCCTGCATTGTGAAGACGCTGCACACTTTTGGTTGCCATGCAAAAGCCTGATCATTATTAGCTATATGCTAACTTCTTGCTCTTGTGAACTGTTCAACAATTGAGTGCCAGTGTCCATGACATAAGCAATGCGATCTTTTTGCTTCTTCATCCAGTTTCTCTGCTCTCAACTGCCTGCATAGAGGGTTCCTTGCCTGTGAACTCTCAAGTTCTCACACACTCCTCAATTTATTAGTTTCTTTTTTATAATATTTTCTTTTATAAACATAAACTATTTAGCTTTTCTAAAAATTATATTATTCTAAATTTCATGCTCCTCAAAAGATGTCCTTTTCTCAATATTGTTGATCTCTTTTTCTATTATTTGAAGTTATATTTCTTCAACAACTATCTTTTAATATTTTTGGTAAAAACATATGACCAATTTTTTTTTCATGTCTACATACTATATTCTTCCATTATTAGTATATTTAATACAGCCATACATGTGTTATTTGATTTTGACATTGCTCATATCAAAATTAGTCTTACTCATCTTTATAAATGTAAGGTTTCTAAACTTCCTTTCATAAAGGGATTTATAAGTAAAGTTTGATAAATAATGTAGATCCTTTTTATTTTCTTGCAGTTCAATTAGGGAATACAATTGTCAAGTACCTATAATTAGACCATACTTCCACAGATATTTGTGTAGTCAGAATTGAATATTCTAATAATATTTATATGTAAATATGGCAATTATTTGGTTTAGTATCTAATCAAGTTCAGGCTAAATATAATTTGTCATTTCAAATGTTTAATATTAATCCTTCCTATAATAAAAAACAGGATTTACTACCACTTACTTTAACAAAAAATCGTTAATCTCTTTTTCCTTATAAGATTAAGCTTTGTTTAGCCCTAAAATCGAAACAATGTGCTTCTTGAAAGCACATAAAACAATAGCCACAAAATTTTCCGGTTCCCTCAGTTTGTGCAAAAAGCTTTCAATTAAACTTGCAAACCTAATTCCTGAATTTCTCTCTTGTGACCAAGAAAAGGTTCCCAGGTTTCTTTAGCGCTTGTGATTTTATGTTTAATGCTATACCACTATCAAAATTTTACATTTCCGTCATTAATGAAAATGATGTTGATAAAAACTATTATTCGAATCTCTATCTTGCTAATTCATGTTGTGAATTGGTCAATGCTGTCAAATGTTTGCTGATTGTACGGCACCTACATGGACGACTTGGCATCCTCGTTTTTAGCAAAGCTCCGCTTTATTGATTTTTCCGCCTGGTCAGAGAAGTCTGCAAAGTACAGACTTCCTTATTTCAGAAGAGTTCTAAAAACTCCTAGCAAGAAAATGAATTTTTCCTCGTTTTTTCTCGTGCTACCAGACGCTTACTGGCGATCCCATCTGTAAGAACTCGGTGGAGCACGAGAGTTGTGGCCTCTGGGGAGATAGCAGCGACGACGACGAGTCTTCCAGCTGATAGATCGAGTCGTCAAGATCGAATATTGAACTCCGCCGCTCTTCCTGTCTTGTTTGAGGAGTTTTTGATGCATCGTCGAGTTGCAAAGCTGACTCCATCGAAGCGTGTCTCCTCTCGGCGTCGTCATCGTCTTCATCCGGACCTCCTGCCTCGGACGCTGGCGCCGACGACTGATTGTCGACGCTCTCGCTTCTAGGAGTTTGCAGTGGTCCAGCCGGAGCTGTCGAGTGCTGCTGCGGGATCATGGCTTGAGCCTGAGCGATCACCGAGGGACCATCGTCTTCCGAGTAGAGAACCTTTTGGACAGCCATCACCACCTGCGAACGTTGATCATAAAAGGTCTCTAGAGACGAGAGGAAACTGAAAACCTTACCGGGGTGTTTGCAAGGCTTGGAGTTTGAGACAGTATCTCAATATCGCGAAGCTTTGAGAAGTAGAAATCTCTCTCCTTTTCGAGCGTCTCCATTGTAAGCTTGAGCTCCGTTATTTGCTCGTGGAACGCATGGACTTGAGCTGTTAATGGCGGTGGCGTTGGTGCCGGTGTAGATGCTGGCCTGTAAGGCTTCGTTGCTGCACACAAAAGATTCACAAGTTTGTGAAGTCCCATTTTATGGGTTTTGGAATGATGATCAACTTACCAGAGTTTTGGAGACTCTCCAGTTTTCGGATTGCACTAGCCGGTGTTTTCGCGAGGTTATTAGATGATTTCGAGGTAGCTAGATTAGATGAACTGGAAGAAAGAGTTTTTCGATTCGCTTCCTTCCCTCCCTTCGCCATCTCTCGTCTCTCCGCGGCGTTATAGCTGAAAAATCTTGTTTTTGAGCTGATGAAAAATCTCTAAGCGATTGTACGTACCTTGGTCTTCCATGGACAGAATCGCAGTAACGTTTCAGCCATTGCATAAACTCCAAATTGTCCAGCGGTCGTCCCTTCATCAACTTTGCCACCTCGATATGCTGTAGATAAAAGCTCCAGAGTGAACTCCCGAATACTCGAGCATGAGAACCAACCTTGCTTATCTTAAGCTTGTTGAAAACCTCTTGGAGAACTTTGTAGTTCTGTATCATCTCATACTCGTTCTTCGCATCAAAATTCACCTAGATCACAAAAAGAAGATAAATCCAATCCATTCCTCGTAGCAAATAGTAAAACAAACCTTATGCATTGCTACAACTCCAGGGTGCGTGGCATCTATCAGCTGGCAATACACAGCACCTGACGAAGCCTATAACAAAGAGAAATTAAAATAATGACCTACACTATCTCCAGTTCCTTCATCAATCATCAATCAACCAATCGATTCGAGAGAGAGCGGAGCTCTTACCTCTTCCACTTTGCTGAGATTGAGCTGCAGAATCGAATTCACCCATCCCAGGATCTCGTTCCGCCCCACGAAATAGGCGCCATCCATCATGCCAATGCTCGCTGCCGCCATCTCGCCTCCGATCGATCGAGAGAGCAGAGAAAAAATCGCCCCTGAAATGGATCACAGCGCCGCCGCGAGCTAGGATTGGAATCGATTAGGGCTTTGCCTTTCCCTCTCCTCGCCTCCCTCCCTCCCCTATATCCTGGCGCCCCGCCTTCCCATTAAAAAAATTAAACTCTTTGTTAATTCAAAGGGCGAGCCGTTGGGCAACGGCCAGTACAGGGGATCCTGTCTTCGATTCCTGGCACCGCCTGAAAATATTCCAGTAAAAAGTAGATTCGTTTAGGTTAATCCAGGTTAATAGGGCTAGTAATGTTTAGGATTTAAGGTTAGTTTAAGTAATCTCTTAACCAAATTCCCTGGATTTGGAGATGAAATGATAAGACACCACTACAAGCTAGAGCTCCCTGGGGAATCTCTGGAGGCCAAATTTTTACTCAAATCCATGAAGTCTATGCTTTTTGGGAGGGAGTGGAGTTTTCTTCCTTCTCTGTCCTCTCTTCCCTTCTTTCTTCCATGCCTAAAGATCTGATCTTTGGAATCATGGGGAATGAGTGTGGAAGAGTGGTCCTTCCTTTCTTTTCTAGCCTAAAGTTCTTGTAGCTTATGGTGTTGCCACTGCCAACATGACACATAAAAAATTCGGGGCATTGAAAGCTTGCCACCCCAAAATCCATTGAAATTGATATTGATTGATGAGTTTTCTCCTCTTTCCCTCTGGGAATGTATTGTATATGGAGCTTCTTGCAAGACAAAATCATGGTGTAGAGGACTTGTAGACATGACCTGATGAACAGAGAGGGTACGCGCAACAAGAATTTTGAGCCGTGGGACCTTGCAAAGTCCAGGAGAGTGATTGATTTTTCCGTAGTTTTTTAGAGTTTTTTTATGCTAAGTTCTGCTAAGGACTGATGGATCTATCTTGCAAACACCAGGATTGCACCCATTGGAACACCTGAAAGAAATAACTACAAAAGTTGATGGACTAGTAAAAAACTCACAAATAAAAAGAGGGCTTCTTGAGCATGTCACAAGCCAATTGATATCTCCAGCCCTTCTCAATGATGCAAGAACACAGAAGCAGCAGGAAGCAAAATAATGCCAAAAAAAAAAAAAAAAAAAAAAAGTGAGAGAAATTTGCACAATCTTGTGTGAGCGAGCAAGATACATACATATGACAAGGAATGAACAACTCCTTCAGGGAGTGGCCGACCACCATCTGTCCAAGCTTAAAAAATTCCATGCACAACACTCTACTCAATTCCCACTATCAGATCAAACACAACCCAAGAACAAAAACAATGGCGGATTTTTTTCTTGGTTCTAAGTATCAAACATTCAATCCCGGAAGTTAAAATTTTTCCGTGTCGAGGGCCGAGGTTTTTAGTGTCGGTGGAAGCATTTTGTTTGGGTGTCTTGGTTCCAGCCACACAAGAACTAGGTTCTTGCTCCCCAAGTTCTTTGTTTGTTTTGAGTTGCGAGGCTTCTTCTTGTGTTTTTTTTTTGGTTTCTCTCGACAGTTCTAGCTAAGCGTCGTGCGATCGAGAGAAAAAGAAAGAATGGCTGCTCTGACGGGAGGAATTGGAGTTTTAGTTCTTCTTAAAAAGATCTCCCGATAGAAAGAGAGAGAGAGAGAGAGAGAGAGGGAGAGATCGATCAAACGAGGAGGAGGAAATGATAAAAAATCTCCTTTGTGGACCCTTTTGCATGGGTCCGGCGTGCCCGCTTTTGGTGTTAAAGCGTGCATACAGTTGTTTGTATGTTGCGGGGGAGCCGGGGAAAAGCGTTGGAGCTGGGCTGGAACAACGAGAAAGAAGAAAAGAAGTTATTCGCCACTAGACAAGGTACTTACATTCTTTGGAAGAAGATCTATTAAAGCATTTGCCTGGTAGAAGAAGAACTCTCTTATAGTTCCTTAGCTTAACTTCAATGGAGCGTTAGAAACGACCGTCAAAACTCTCTTTTTTTCCTGTGCGTGCGCGACTGTGTGTTCTTCGTCTTGGCTACGGACTTGGTCTTCTAAAAGCGTGTGTGTGTGTAGTCTTTGGTGTTCTATAGTTAAGTTTTTCTCTCGCGCACTTGGTGGTGATTGATCGTTGGTTTTTTTTCTCTCCTTTTTTCTCATCTGGCTGGTCTGGAATTCTTTTGTTTATATCGCTCATGACTAAGAATTTCTATGCAGCCTGGCGATCCCAGTGCCGACACAAATGATACGAGCTTAAAAATCGGGGGTCGATGATGCGATGATGCTCGACTACTACACTCCAAGCGCCAAGAAGAACAGAAGCAGCAGTAGCAGCAGCAGCATCCCGGATCACAGCTCTTCTTCCATGGACGAGTTCCTAGAGAACATCATCTCGATCCCATCCTGGCCCGATCAAGACGGTGTTGCTGGAAGGAGCTGGGATCACGACGAGCAGCAGCAGCAACTGAGCAACGAGATGCTCGTTGCTGCTTCGTTCCAAAACCAGGTGGGAGGAGGGGGAGCTGCTAGCACTAGTCAAGCTGGATCAAGAAACCACCAAGGATTGGCAGCTACATTGGATCACAGCGACAACACCGGTCAAGTTTCTTCGTGGAGTCACCACTTCGTTCCTGGTAATGCTCTGAGCTTTGCGAAACTCGGCGATGGGGGAGCGAGCAGCGATCCAAATTCTGTCAAGAAACGATATAGAGACGAAGAACTCCAACAGGTACACAACAAAGTTCCTCTTTTCCTCCATCGTTTGGATAAAAAACTAGCTTTTGCTTAAAAACTTCGGAGGAAGCACTGAAAATTCTCGTTTTTTGCAGATGTATGGAGCAGCGGGACAAATGCAAATCGATCAGCAGCAGAAGCACCAGCAAGATCAGCAGCAGGTTCGTTTAATTCAGTCGAGTTTCTACAGATTTTCTTTTGGTTCTCTCTAGTTCATGTCTCGCATTTCTTTTGTCTCTCTCTTGCAATGCTGTTTAGAGGTCTCAGGCTCCACTAGCTTACGATTCGAATGCTCCAGTTGCCCCTGTAAATCCTCCTCCTGCGGGAATCTCTGCGAGACCACGAGTGCGAGCTCGCCGTGGTCAAGCCACCGATCCCCACAGCATCGCCGAGAGAGTAAGAAGCTTCTTCCACTTTAAGTGATCGATTCACCTGTTTTGATCGCAGCTTCGCCGAGAGAAGATTGCCGAGAGAATGAAAGCTCTCCAGGAACTTGTCCCAAACGCGAACAAGGTAAGATCATATCCCATCCATCACCAGTTTTGGTTTTTAGTTCTTAAATTTTTTGCTTTCTTTATATGATCATTTGGATGACTTCCACTGAGCTCTGATATACTCGCGTGATAAACAGACTGATAAAGCCTCGATGCTCGACGAAATCATCGACTACGTAAAGTTTTTGCAGCTCCAAGTCAAGGTAAGTGATATACTTCCCTTGTTCTTCCAGGAACTAAGACTAAAAAACCACCTTTCTTTGACAGGTATTGAGCATGAGCAGACTTGGCGGCGCTGGAGCAACCATGGCTCCACTCGTCGCAGACTTGCCTCTAGAGGTATCAAAACAGTTTTTATCCAAGTTCTATTCTATAACTTTTTGTTTCTTCAAGGGTGCTGGGCAAGAACTAGTATCTTCTTCACAACTTTGTCGACAAATCTCCGTGAATCTTTCTCCGCAAGATGGTATCGCTCTCACAGAGCACCAGGTTGCTCGTCTCATGGAGGACGACATGGGCTCAGCGATGCAATACCTCCAGAGCAAAGGCCTGTGCTTGATGCCGATATCTCTCGCGACTTCGATCTCGTCGTGCTCCACCAAAGTTCCCACAACCATGTCACTTGCAGCAACAGCAGCAGCAGCAGCAGCAGCAGGATCATCTCCCACGACCGCAGCCATCGCCGGAGCTCTCCAGCACGCAACACTGTCCGACTCGGAAGCTAGCGCGATGGAAGGGTGCAATGGACGAGCAGCGACCAAGGATTTCCCGGAGCAAAGCGAAGAACAATGGCTCAAGTGATGCCAATCCATCTCCGGCTCGGTATACATAAATAAGTCTGGATTTTGCGAGAGTTTTCGTGTAAAAAAGCTTATAGATCCCAGCAAAGGGATGAAAAGAGAGAAAGCATTGCAAGTACTTGCTTAACTTTTAGAGTTGCTTTACGAGCTCTTTTCTTAGGATTTTTCCAGACGCTGTTTTGGGAATGGCGTTTGTGAATGCTACTCTCCTCACTCGCTTGTAAGGCGCAACCTTTAGAAGATAGAAAAGACGAGAAAGTGCTATAGTGAAATTATAAGTTTATATAGTCGTGACTTACGTGCTCGGCAACGAAAGCTTTCACTTGGTCCTCTGTCAAGTTGCCATCCAGCGAAGGGACGATAAAAGCCATTGGAATTTCACCAGTTTCCTTGCTCTTGTACCTATAAAGAAAAAGGTATTTTGTTCTCAGACTGTGTTAATCTGTTCCCGGTGATGATAGAACAAAGAAGAACTTAGGAAAGAAATCACATACGGTATCACAGCAGCGTCCAAGATCTGAGGATGTGACAATAGCAGTGCTTCAAGCTCCGCGGGAGCAACCTGTTAAAACAAGAAAAAAGAGTTTTTTCTTGAAGGATAGCCAAGAACTTGGGACTTAGACTTGGAACTAGATCTGAGAGATCACACACCTGGAGAGCTTTGTACTTGATGAGTTCCTTGATCCTGTCAACGACGAACAAGTTCCCGAGCTCGTCGAAGTAGACGAGATCTCCTGTACGAAGCCAGCCTTGAGGATTCATGGTAGAGCTCGTTGCTTGAGGATCGTTCATGTAGCCTGCGAGAGAGCTTTGTAGATTTGTATTGATCAATTAGTGGTTTTCAGCGAGCTTGTGAAGCAATATTACCGATCATTGTTGTTGGACCTCGAACCAGGAGCTCTCCTTTGTGATTTGGAGGCAAAGGCTCGCTGTTTTCCACGTCCACGACTTTGGCCTCCATGTCCGAGAGCATCGTTCCCACGGAAGCTGCTAGATTCTCATTTTGTCTAGAATCCTTGATCAGCGTGAGAGCTCCAGTGACTTCTGTGAGACCATATATCTGAAATGAGAGATTTCTTTGTGATTTCAAGATTTCTCAAGATCATAGTGTACTTGCGAGAAGGACGTGTTTGGAAGGTATTTGTAGCACGTCTCGATCAATTCCTTGCCTAGTGGAGCAGCTCCACAGAGAATGTTTTGCAAAGAGGAGAGATCATATCTTAAGCTTCCATTGTTCTGCAAGAACACGAACATCTATTCAAGTAGCAACTTGAAAAAAGCTTGCAAACCTTTTGGAGAGTTTTAGCGAGAGCCAAGACCACCGGAGGAACTACATAGATGTGAGAAATATGGTAGCGTTCGATCGCAGCAAGCATCCCTGAAAGCTCAAATCCTCGAAGAACTACCGTTTGGTTTCCACGGTAGAGCTGCTGGAGCGTGATCACCACCGAGCCAAATATGTGAGACATTGGCAAAGCGCAGAGATGGACCTCCTGCTCGATGATGTTTCCATGATCTGGGCCTTGATGATGGCAAGAACTGGCAAGCTGCATGATTTGCGAGCAAATGTTTGCATGAGAGAGCACCACTGCTTTGCTCATGCCAGTGGTTCCAGACGAGTAGAGCACGGCTGCTGGATCATGGAGGCTCCGGTTCTTCTTGCCAGAGTTTAAGGAGGAGAGCGATGAAACTTTCTCCAGGATCGTCGAAAGTAGCACAACGCTGGGTTGTTCTTCGCCATGATCAGAGGAAGAAGCATCGTTGTTATAGTCGATGACAATCGCTGGGAGACTCAAGCCTTCGATCTTAAACAGGAGATCCCGCGTGGACATGACCAGCTTCACGCTCGTGAGCATCGCTTGGTGCCGGACATCGTCGGGAGTTCCCAGAGGATTGGGAGTAGCAGCGAGAGCTCCGATGGAAGAAATAGCGAGCAGCGCAACAGGATAGTAGAGCGAGTTTGGAGCCAGGAGCATGACAACGTCGCCGTGCTCCACACCAAGATCAACGAGTCCCTCCGCGAGCTTGAAGACGAGCCTCTCGAGCTCGCCATACGTGAGCTCTCGCCCGGAAACTCCATCGATCAGCGACACTCTGGATGAGAAGCTCTTCTTCTTTGAGAAGACGAAGCTCGCAATGTCAGTGATACCATCATTCCTTGAGAAGTCCAAGCTTGGCCTTTGGCTGTGGAAGATCCTCGACTGCTCGTCATAGCATTTGGAGCTCGATCGTGCTGACAGACCTCGTCGTGTGGACCTGTGATCGTAGTACGAGCCTTTCCATCGCTCTTGACGAGCGAAAAGCCTGGAGAAATTCAAATGCCCGTGACTGCTCATGATCATAAATGTCGAGCTCGCCATGACCGCCCTCTCTCGCCCATTCAAAAACTATTATAAGGGTTTAGAGAGCCCGTGAAAGTGGAGTAGATCGATCTGATGCGGCGTCTCAAATGGTCTGACACACCTAGAAATGACTTTTTTTTCACGTGAGGCTTGTGTAGCTCTCAGTTTGGGTGTCGAAATAGACTGGAGTTACCATACAAAACCTTTATGTTTGCCTTTTCAGCTTCTTGATTTTCTCGCCCAAGTTGTTACTCAGGATAAAGTTTTCCCAGGCAATATCATCTACGACGAAATACTTCACATAAGTTCCCTTTGTTTGTAAAGTCATTACCTCAATACTATAGCCTAGCTTGATAGCAATCTTCTTTTTGTTGTGAGTTTCAATCACAGTGAACCTTGTCAAGTCTAAAACAGAGCTAGAGCACTAGAGTAAAATCGGTGCCGTTGTGAAAACCACACACGACCTTCCTGCATAATGCGATGAGTGTGATGAGTGTGAGATTTGCAACGAAGTTTTTATAGAACAATCGTGATCTGGGACTCTATAACCTATCCCTCTCTCTCTCACTCACCATAAGAACTGTTCACCGCAGACATTGACTTTCCAAGCGTAGAAAATTACGACGACAAGGAATATTCGGCATGGAAGAATCAATGACAGGGCTCTCTAGAAAACGAGAGAACATAGTTTATAAAGGTATTGTATTAAACTATCTCGGTCACAAAAGTGGTAATCAAATTCATCCGGCAAAAGTGTGTCATCTCTTCGGCGGTTCAATCTAGCTCCACATAACAAGCCCTGCTAAACATCACAGCAAGGGAAAAGGGGTTGTAGAAAGCAATGCAATTTTTGTCCAGCAAGCTGCACTAGAATCTAGAGTGGCACTAGATGGAGAACTCTGTAAATGATGATGCTGAGGAGGAGGATGACCCAGAGCAAAACGCAAGAAGAACTGCAAGGAGAGAAGAGAGAGTGAGTAGCCTAGATTAGATCCTCTGGCTACAAATGTCCAAGATAAACCAAGTCCTTGATCCCAAAATAACTACCCCGGCTAGGGTTCTTGATAAGGTGGAGGTGTTATGTAAGAAGTGGAAACAGAGTGCTGAATTTGAAAATGCAGCTTTACAATATTCTTCAAGATTTGGATAGTTATCATATAAGAACTTATCATAGATCTTAGTTCCCCCTGTATAAATGTGGAGTTGCAAGGCGAGCTAATCTGTCATGCTGTGATCAATGGTAGAAATGGGGTGAATATTTTGCCTGAGGAGACATGGCAAAAGTTCAATCTTTTAGAACCAATTCCAGTGCCATTTATGGTTAAAATGGCAAACTAGAGATATGTCCAGCCAAGAGGAATCATGACCAGTGTTCACACTCAGATTGTTGGTTTAGTTTTCCACTTTGATTTTGTGGTCTTGAAGATGAAGGAGGGCATGTTGGGCTATCCACTTCTGCTCAGACGTCCTTGGGCTATCCACTTCTGCCCTCCTTCATCTTTAAGACCACAAAATCGATGTGGAAAACTAAACCAACAATTTGAGTGTGAACACTAGTCACTATTCCTCTTGCTCTGGTTTGCCATTTTAACCATAAATGGCACTAGAATTGGTTCTAAGAGATTGAACTTTTGCTATGTCTCCTCAGGCAAAATATTCACCCGCAATCACAAAATGGATCTTACATTCTCTCTCTCATTTCTACCATTGATCACAGCGTGATAGATCAACTTGCCTTGCAGCTCCACATCTATACAGGGGGAACTAAGATCTGTGATAAGTGGCTACTTCTTGATGTCCCTTTATAGCCACAGCCAACACCTTCCTCATGCCTAGAGCCAATTGCATGAGCTGAGTGAATGTGATGTTCGGGTGTTGATTGTCTAAGTCTTGAAGAATATTGTAGGGCTGCATTTTCAGATTTAACACTCCGTTTCCACTTCTTTTATAGCACCTTGGAGACTCCCTGGCCCTTATCAAGAACCTTAGCTGGAGTAGTTATTTTAGGATTAGAGACTGGTATATCGTGGTCATTTGTAGCCGGAGGATCTGATCTGGGCTGCTCACTGCCCAACATGCATCTTGGCTTTTCCAAATGCAAGCTGCTCATGACTATATGACTAGTACTCTAGTGGTGGAAGATGATAATCATCAATATCAGATGATCATCTTGTTTGATATCAATGCACTTGACTATGACTTTTCTTACATGTTGAAAGTCTAGAAGGCTTCAAAGTTAAAAAGCAAAGATGGTAACCTAAAGAGGCCAATGTTATGATCCAGCGTGAAAAGACAAAAATCTAGTCTCCCTAGACTACGCAACACCTCCAGTATCAAAGGCAACATACAAGGATCATAATATGTTGGAGTCATCAACAACAGCCAATTCGAATCATGGATGGACCTCAAGAGCTAGATGGTTGTCAGCTTTCAGTGGATATAGTGCCGAAAGTTGATTCAGATTATTTTGGGAAGCAACCCTAGACACAAGTTGTTTTTATGGTGATGAGCAATGTGAGTTACTAATGGGACACCAACTCATTAAGGGGGAGATGGAGATTGTCAACTATTTTTGGAGTTTCAATATATGTTCGCATGGAGCTATGCTAAACTTGCTAAAGTAGATCCTGAGCTGGTGCAATATAGGATTCCCAAGCTTCTTGATGCACTATAGGCTTATAGAGTTGCTTCCAAAGTAACTACATGGTTCTCACCATTCCAATTGGTTTATGAGGTTCCTTCTTTACAGACAGCAGTAGCTCACAATTATGATTGGGATGAAGCTGTTCAGCAGTGGCTGAAGCAGTTGGAGAAGCTGGATGAGACTTGCCTCCTTGCCTTCCAAGCTTGTGAAGCTCTCCAACATCCAGGATAAGGATGGGATACGGAAAACCTGCTATACTTGCAGCTCTTGATATGTAAACTAAACATTCAAATCCTCTAGCATATCCCATATGTTGGACTCGTGAGATAGCATAAAACTTGTGTGTGGTTTCACAACACTGATATCCTTCTGGTGCACTCTCGCAGTTTACAATCCATTTTACACTTGACAATGTTCACTGTGATTGACAAAACTTCTCGCACTACACTGTCCACTGTCTGCAACCTGGCTAGAACCGAATCATCGCCGGAGCAAATGTCTGCGGACAGTGCTTGTAACATCTCCTCCTCAGGAAGGAGATGTTTCCACCGTCTAGAAACTCGAAGCATTTCTCAACGATAGCCTCGCACCCCAGCTCCATGGCCACTTTCACCACACTGATGGTTCATGTTGCAGCATTCGTCTGTCACGATTGCGCAGGAGAAATCCTCCTGCATGTGCCGCCAGGTAGCTGCTGCGAGGCTAGAGCACTGCCGAGTGAGCATAAAAGCTATAATCCCTAGCATGTGTCCCAACGCACACAACCCCGTGGCTAGTGTTGTGATCCCCAAGCTTAAAAATATCTCTGTCCCGGGACCTCCTGTCCCCATCTTGATCTTCACATATTTTGATAGATTTGACGATCTAGAGGTCCTTGTTGCGCGCAATCAGCCGAACCACGCGCATAAACCCAGAAATGTAGTCAAACGAGAGGGATATTCTTGCTATATATTTTAAATGGACGTAAGCAACCAAGGTTTTGTGGTCTAAAACAGGAAAAACATGTTGAACTGTAAGTATTCCATCCTTTAAAGTTGGAGATGAGGATGAATGAATAATACAAATCAAATTCTTACCAACGTCGCATGAAGTATCCCAAAACCTTATCGAGAAAGATGATCATCAAAAGTATAACTTCATATTCATGATAAAAAAAAAGTCCATTTTCATGACCTTGAAGTTGAGGATTTTGTTATTGGCGATCATATGTATGCTTACTATTGATGCACCATGTGGCTTAAATTTGCAAGTGATTGATAGAGATTCTTGCTGAAAGATTCTGCCAAAGAACTTCTGATGATAGAGTATACTCTGGTATAATCATCTTGAGAAAACCTTAATCCAATTGATTATTTATTAGATTACGAAAGTCTCAAAATTCTCTTGTAATCGTCACCGAATCACCTTGCCAAAATATAAGATGTGAGTATATAGGCTGGAATTTTATGCATAAAATAATTTGAAAACACTTGAGCAACAAGCTAGCTTGATTGAAGCAAAGGACTCAGTACCTGCGGGGCACACTGCATAGCTCACACACGAAAGTGAGTGGGAATCCATTGTCTTGCAAGAGCGCTAGCGCCTAACTTAAAGAGCTTGCTCTGTTAAACTTCTCAACTGTCAGACCTTAGCAAATCGACAAATGATAGTGATTAAGATTTTAAACCATAAGTGTTGGGTAAAAAATAGGTTGATTTGTTATTTTAATTTGGTAAGTTTTCTGATCAATCAATCAATTATCAGTTCATGAGGTGAGTTAGAAATCCTTCTTCACTAGGAATCCTCCATTTTTTTGCATTTATCCTTGTTTCCCTTTCATTGATTCATCAAAGCACTTGTATAAATTGAACCAGATCATGTGCAGCTGCATCGTGAGAACTAGAGAAGGTTGTGGAGGAATGGTACTCAGTGTGGTCTAGCTTCCATGGCTAAAGAAGAAGAGCAAAATGAGACAATCAATAGTCAATAATTATATGATGCTAACTTAAAGAGGTGGCAGAAAATTTTGTCGGAGAATCCAGCTCCCTTTTCCCAATCCCTGTAGCTAGATTAAAGCCTGGCAATTCCTACACGGATTCAAGCTGCTCATGTTGCTGGAGCTGACAAAGCTCAAGCAACACTGGCGGATAATTGGGGTAAGTTCTCCTATTAGTTTATAAAAGTTTATAAATTAGAAACATGTTTATATAATCTAATATATATTAACAGTTATAAATTTTTATATTTATAAATTACTATTAAGCAAACCAACATGATTTTATTTCAAACTCTGCTTGTAAATACTGCTGGAGCCCAATGAAAAGAATTTGGACAAGGCAGCTACCACGTTCCACACAAAACCTTTATCTATTTCCTCTTCTTCTTGGTGAGACAGGGTGCCACTCCTGATTTTCTCGCCCAAGTCGTTACTCAAGATAAAGTTTTTCCAGGCAATATCATCTACTTCGAAATACTTCACATTTTCCTTTACATCCTGCATCCTTATGTACAAACCTGTTGATAATCTCCCCTTGTTTGTACAAGCCATTACCTCAATACTGTAGCCTAGCTTGATAGCGATCTTCTTCTTCTTGTGGGCTTCAATCACAGTGAACTTTGTCGAGTCTAAAACAGAGCGTACACTGCGATAGAGCATTAGAGTAAAATCGGTGTTGTTGTGAAACCACACACGAGCTTCCTGCATCTTGCGATGAGTGTGAGATTTGCAAATCACTCCCTCACAAAAATACGAAGTGTTTATAGAACAATCGTGCTCATCTGAGACGCTATAACCTTTTCCTCACTCACCATAAGAAGGGGTTTGAGAGACTGAGAGAGCTCGCGATTGAGGTGCCGCCGCTGCAATCCCTACTGTTCACCGCAGACATTGACTTTCCAAGCGTAGAAAAGTCTGAAGTAGATGACGACGAGGATTAATCGGCGTGGAAGAATCGATGACAGGACTCTCTAGAAAACGAAAGAAAAGGTATTGTATTAAACTACGTAATGCTTACCTCCTCAATCAAACTCATCCGGCGAGGGCGTGTCATCTCTCCGGAAAAGTGTCGGCGAATGCGGTTTACTAGCTCCACGTAACAAGCTCCGCTAAAAATCACAGGACGCTTCTTAGCATTAGAGAACGAGAGAAAATGGCAGCATACCTGCAAGCCGTCGAGAGAAGCCAATAGTCCTTTCTAGCCGCAACTGAGTCTGCGTTTGGCTGCTTTACTCCGGAAGCACCACACCTCAAACGCTTCGCTTAGGTCGGGATAGCTCGCCCTCTCGTTCTTGAGCCACTCGGCCAAGATCACGCCTTGATCGTCCGACGGCAGTGACAAAACGAGGGAGTTTATGGCGGCCTCGATGCTGTTGTAAAGCAGCATCGTCTCTTCCACGCACTCGGCTTCCAGCAGCACCATCTTCATGTCTCTCACGAAAGGAAGCCAAGCTTTCACGAGCCCAGTCCTTTGAGTTGGCGGTATCAAAACGTTGCCATAGCCGACGGCTTCCAAAACCTTTGAGGTGATCTCCATCACCTTGAGTTTGATCCCACTGCTCAAGGCTGGGTCCTGGAAGACGAACACGATCTCCGGGGAGAAGTCCGACCAGGCCAAAACAAGTTCGTCGAGCGAGCCAAGCCTCGACAGAACACGCGAGGCCCAAGCAACGTCCGCTAGCTTTTCCAGAATAGCGTCTTCGAAGGTTTCAGCACCACCGCCCTCGATCGTGATCACGTCCTTGAAACGATGGAAGAGCTCGCAGAATTTTTCCCGGAACGCCAACTTGATCTGGCTGTCGGAAGTGATGAGCGGAGCGTCGTCGTCTTCCACCAGCATGTACTCGATTTGCTCCTGCGCGGAAACTTTGCGCTTGATCGAGACGCCGGCATCGCTCTCCCGGGTAGCAGCGATGATCGCCGAGAGAAAAACTTCTCGCACCACAGCACTGTCCACTGTCCGCAACCTGGCTAGAACCGGATCATCGCTGGAGCAAATGCCCGCGGACAATGCCTGTAACATCTCCTCCTCCTCACCCTCGTTCCATGGAATTCCCTCTAGAAACTTGAAGCATTTCTCGACGATGGCCTCGCACCCCAGCTCCGTGGCAACTTTCGCCACGCCGATGGTCGCCTTCACGTTGCAGCATTCCTCTGCCACGATCCCGCAGGAACCAGAGGAGAAATCCTCCTGCATTGCATAGAAAATCCGGAGAAGAATCACGTAGTAGTCGAAATCTTCCTCGCAGCACCCCAGCAGGATGGAATCGCTGCCCTTGGCAAGATTTGCCGCCAAGCAGCTGCTGCGAGGCCGGAGCACCGCCGAGTGAGCGTAGAAGCTACAATCCCTGCCGGGAGTCCCGACGCGCACAATCACGTCGCTAGTGCTGCGATCCCCGAGCTTGAGAATCTCCCTCTCCCCGGCGCCTCCTATTCCCATCTCGATCTCCACATATTTCGACCGATTCGACGATCTAGAGGCCCCTGCTGCGCGCGATCGGCCGGGCCAGAGACGCCATACCTTGCTCCCTTCGTTCGCTCGCGCGTAAACCCTAGGTAGTTCGCTAGGATAAAATGAGCTTTAAAATGGTCAAGAGGTCAACGGCCTAAAATTGTCAACGTATATTAGTCAACAGAGGGATATTCTTGTTCAAAGGCTGGAAAAGTCAATGAGTCAACGCATTTATACTGGGCCAGTCAACGAGCGGGATGGTTTTGTTCTTGTGAAATTCAATACAAGACCACTGCCTCGATTCTTCCAACCAGTTTTTAGTCGGCAAGTAGACCACTGGTCTTTAATGCTAGCTTCTCTCTCTCTCCCTCCCTCTCTTTTTTTCTCCTTCCTTTTGTCTTCCTATCGATCTCGTTGTCGTTGAATCTTTGTAGAACGAGCTCAGCTCTCCTCAAACCTTGGAGAAATCAAAGGACTTCTTGACGAACTTCGAGGCCATGGAATGGCAGCGATAGCCCAGCGCGGTGGCGAGCACATTCGTGTTCGTCAAGTGCTGGAGACCCTGCGGCACCGGCGGCGACTTGGACGACTTTGTGAACATCACCCGGAGATTGGCCTCGAAATCCACCACCGCCTTAAAGCCTCCACCGCTGCTCGGCGATGACGACGAGTCCCTGCTCTCTTCTTCGTCCGCCTCGATTTGCTCTTGCTTTGCCGGCTTGATGAGCAGTAGCTTGAGGAAATCCAGCACTGGCTCCGCGGTCCTGTCCACGAGGTCGTCCTGCAGGCCCTCTCCTCCGGCCTTGAACAGTTCCACCAGGTAGCCAAACTCTTCCTCGTACATCTCCACCTCGGGAGCTTCCACCGCGTGGAGCTTGCTCTGGTGCGAGACCACCTGGACGAACGCCTCAAACGAGGACTTCATGATGTGCTTGACTAGCCGGTCCCGGAGCCAGTCGGAGCTCGACTCCGCCACCTTCAAGAGCTGCGTGTTGAGATAGTCGATGGCCGGCTTGATCCTGTAGTGCTTGCTGCTGTACATCACCTCCCAGTGCTTGTCTCGCATGTCGCAAAAGACCGTCTGGTACGCGATGAACTCGCAGAGCTTCTGGATGCCGTTTTGACAGTAGTGCCGGGCCCCCGAGAACTTGACGTCTTCGTTTGCTTCTAGTTTGGTGCCGCTTGTCAGCTCCTGCCACCCGTAGCGGATCTTCTTCTCCAGGAACTCCATCTGTGTCTCGATGTAGTAAAGCGTGTTCATGCGCACGCACAGGTGCTCCACATCTGTCGCGGCGATGTCGTCACCCGCATCAGCCTCGTTTAGCTGCGGCCAAACTTTGTTCCTGTACAGTGTCAGTGTCTCCGATCTCTTCTTCCAAACTTCGCCGACTCTGTTGAGTAGCGACGATGACTTGAGGAGCGACGGCGTCAGGATTTTCCGTTCCGAGAATAAATTAACCTCCTTTGGCTCTAGAATGTAACAAAAGACAAGAGTGAGCTTGACAAATTTGACAGCGCTAGAAAACAAAAGAGCAGTCTTACCGCATCCGGCCACTGTTAAAAATGCGTAGCGCTCCAGAACCGAGCTTACTCCAGAGATAAGATTCCGAAGAAAGTTCGGGTTCTCATATACTGGAAGCGCAAAAAATGCGTCTAGTAAGTCCTCCACCATTCGTAATACTTCCACTCCAGACATCGCATAGTGTTCTCGCAAAGCGTCGGAACTCCAATCCTGTAAAAGCATTATCGTCAGGCCACTGCACAAGACAAAAAAAAACGACTTGCCTCTTGCTGGACATTCCGGTGCACCCATTCCGCTAGCTTTTGTAGATTCTCCTCGAGCCAGTCACTTACCAGCTTGTCAATTGCCGCATCTGCAGCAATTGAGCTACCGTGAGTGAACTCGCCAGAATTCAAGCTGCTTTCCGAGCACATCCGCATTAGTTTCTTCTCCAGCATGGCGGCCGATTCCAGAGCTCGCAGCACATCCTTCGTCGGCTCAGTAGACTTCGACATGAAATACTTTAGCTCTCGGGTATAGCAAGTGTGCAATGTAGACGCGGCCAGCCTTGCTGGACACGGATGCCACTGCTTAAATATAGGCGAGAAGTTCTCCTCTTCATCCGAAGCAAGCTGAGCTACATTCTTTGCGAGCTCGACTAGTGCAGTAGAGCAAACTTGGCCACATTCGCCCAGCACATTATTGTACACCTGAATCAAAACAGAAAACGATAAGAAACTTTTATGTCGGCCGAAAAGTCAGCATGATTGAGACTTACATGAGTGAAGCATGCTTGTACAGATCCTTGGATATATTCATCTGATCGAAGTCTTGCTATATGGCTATTGATCTCTCCGGCTTCCTGTAGAACGTGCTCATTAAGCACTTCGTCCACGAGAATAGAGAGTGACGCCAAACCGTCCATCGCCCTCACTTCCTTCTTTGTAAAGTGTACGTGATAGGAAAGTAGCCTCATCTCGGACCACCCCTGTATGCTTGTGAGTACCGACGAAAGAAGATCCGATTGCAAGGACGGCTCTCCGGGATGAGATCTCCTGGCCTCTCTCAACTCCACCTCTGCTGTTCTCAGCAGCTCGGCTTCCACCTGACCCGTTAGAATGAACTGCCGGAAGAGAACCCACATGAAGCACACATGGTGCAAAAACTCTGTAATCCCCAGAATTCCCCAAGTCTTCTTTACCAGGTCCATCATCTGGTCGATCTCAAAAATAAAGGAGCCTTCTTCCAAGCTGTCGAACAGAGATCTGAGTAGCATATCGTAGAGGTGAACGTTGAGTGGAAAACCACTCGCCCAGTGGCATTCATCACCCTCTGCCAACCCCGTAGATGCCGCTCGCAAAGCCTGTATACCTTCCTTGAGCTTTGAGCCTCTGGACTGTCTATCTCTAATGTCAGACACCGCCTTTCGAAACTGCGCTGCGAAAGCATCAGAGCTCTCGTGAACTCTAGCCGGATAAACCAAAAGACCAGCCTCAAGCACCGTCAGCTGACGCTTCTGCCACTTTCGGTACTCTTGGGAGTTTGAAAAATCGGAGGAGCTGAGGTTGGCCAGGAGCTCCAGAGGAACCAGCAGAGCTTCAAGACGATTTCCCGACTGATTCAAGAAGAAAAAGCAAACTTTGCATCAGTCAAGCAATATTTGTCAAAGGACCAAGTCTTACATGCTCAGCCGCTCTCGAGAGTGCCTTCCTGATGCGTCCATCCCTGCGCTCGGAGATCTCCATTTGGGACCTTGCGATGTCGAGGTCCCTGGAATGCGAATCCACCCCTCCTCTTCTTCTCGATTTGATTGTCAGTGCCTTTTTGAGGCGGCGCACCGCGAAGTGAGCGGGCGAGTGTGGCGATCCAGGTGACTTCGAACCAGCAGCAGCACTAATGGCCTCGTTCACCACAGTCGCACATACGAGTACTTCATAGGCAGTCTCTCGAAGATCACTGGCAGACAAATCCACTTCGAGGCCTGGAAATGGGGACTCAACTTCGTCCACGGACACGAGCCCCTCCTCCCTGCTTCTCATACTTGACCATGTTCTTGATCTCATGCTGCCCCCAGGCTCCCCCTCCGACCATCTGTCCGAATCCATAGCCATAGCGAGCGCTTCCCGGTCGAGGACGCCGAATTGCCTAGAGAACCTGAATCATCATCGCCCAAGAACGCTCATCCCGGATCGAGGGAGCCTGGGCTGGACGGGCGGAGACGAATCCGGAGGATCTTTAGCCAGGGAAACAAAAATATTTCTCAGCGGCAGCGCTGCCCGTCGGGGCGATCGATCCTCGTCGCGGCCAAGGGATGACACATTCAGCCAAGAATGCCCCTAGGCAATGCCGCCGCTGCGTAGAGCCAAAGATCAAAGATCAGCCATGGAACAGTTACCGTTGAAGATCAACACGGCAGTGCCGCATATGTGACCGATTCTTCCACCGCAACAGTGGCAGCACCTTGTTGTCAACCCTGGGATCAATCACAGGACGCAAGCGCGCCGATCCTGCGCCGCTGCCGACGATCCGGAAGGGATATTACCCTCGCTGATGCAAGGATCGACGCCATCGCGATCGATCACGCTCCTCCTCCGCGCCGCTTCATCCCAGCCAAGAGCCCTAGCTTTAGGCCTCGAGAGAGCGTGGACAAAACAACAAAGGATGGTCACACAAAACAGCATAGGAAGAGCGTGTTTGACGGCTGCCCGTCACTTCCCGTCAAAAGCCCACGTGGCCACATGGCAACGGTCAGATGTGCCAGATAGGACGCGCGGGCCGGAAAAGTCGGCCGGATATTCTCGAGTAAAAGCCAAACGGGCGGCTGGCGTGTCCGCGTCTTAGCCGTCCGATCGCCATGGCATTTGGTACTTTTCCGCGTGTGAAAACGTCAACGCCCGGCACGGCATTTACGTGCCCGTCAAGTTGGCTATGGCGGAGTGGATATACCCTGTGCAAATCACTCAATCCGGGGAATATTTCTCTATATAATAACTACCTGGCATGGCGATGGCCACGCTTTGTATCAGCTGACACATTAGCTAGGCTTTGTCCCCCAGTTCTTACACAATGGGTGATTTTTAAAGGATTTCTAAGGCTTGCTCGATCATAGCGTACTCCACTCTACAATAATAAGATAGCGTGATGACGTTGACAGGGTTGTTTCTACATTACAATGGTAAAGATAGAGAAAGGTGAAAAGGTTTAGGGTATCCCTTTCGATATGGAGGAGAAGAGCGATGGCGCTCGGCGACAATGATGCTTTGTAAGTGGCAATGCGGAGGATTTTCTCGTAGATTTATCGTTCCAGTGATTGAGAGCGTTGTTTCAGGCCGCTGGGATTCGACATGCGTGGTGCATTGAACAAGAGCGGCTATGGCGATTCAGCGATTCGATTTGGATGTAGGTGTTGGTTTTTCAAGGAAAATCCTTGCCTTGTTCACGATCGAGACGCTCATCCTTCTTTGATTTCTACAGAGAACTTCCGACCAGATAAATGCTCGACGCGTCCGATCTCGTTCGTTTTCCTGTCAATGAAGCAGTAAAGTTTGAGACGCTTGCATCTCATGTTCTCACAAGTGGTCTTTGGACCACATTGAGAAGTCCCAGGTACTTTAAGTAGCATTACTTCACAGCATTGGTTTCCAAGGTGGAAGAAATTCTTGGGAGGTCCAAAGAAGCCACGTTGAGTTCTACACTAAATCTGAGTGCTGGAAGCCGGGTTTGCGTAGCTGGATGGTTTTTCGTTTAAGCTCGCTAGCAGCAGCGTCGAGAATTTGGAACGAACTCTCGCTGGTGATATATGTCGGTATCAGATGTTTGAGGAGGTGTTGCAGTGCATTAAGGTATGCTTTCTTTCACTATGAATACTTCACTTTACCGACTTTGTGGACTGTCAGGGGCTCTGGACGGATGGAGCAGATGTTGAAACTCGTAGTGTTTCATTGCAAATCCGAACGATGTTTGCTTATTTGAATAACTCTCAAGTGAAAGCCGTATCGAGTACGGTTGCGGCACTTGAGGCGAACGGAGAGCCTTACGTGGGCTAATACAAGGACCACCGGGTACGGGTGTTGTTAGCTGTTTTACTCTCGGTGTTCTAAAATTCGGGAAGGCAGGTATTAATTTGGTGCTCCCACCGATGCTGGAAGTTAGTTCACGCTTTGTGAAGGTGAACGGCAGCTCCTGAACTACTATTTGACAGGCATGGTAGATTCTCGCGACGTTTTCTAGACTTCGTGCGGAGGAGTTTGATAACCTCGGACACGAACTACTTGGGACTATTGAGCTTTTTATACAATGATCTGCCGAGAATCGAAAATGCTATTACGAAGCTTACAGGACTTATCAGCACCAATGCCGGGTCGTTTTTGGTCCCACAAAAGTAACCAACTGTTACCTCCTACTGTAATCAGCAAGGTATGCTTTGTGCATTGATATCGTGTTATAAAAGCTTGGGTCTCCGCAGAGTCACAGAATGCTAGATATAGTGGGCTGTTCCAGAGACTCCACGGCCATCTACAGGTTCTCGAACTATAGTTTTACCTGCGGAAAGTTCAAGATGGCCCGAATGTCATCTTGAGTTCTGCCATACAAGTTCACAGCGATAGGCAAACGAGGGAACTCTTTAAATCCTGCCGAAGTCTTTCCAAAGTGAAAAGAGGTACGAATCTTCTTGTAAGCTGGTTGACGTTCTAATGCGAGCTTTTACAGAAACTACTGCAATCTTGAGGTTGGAATAATCTCACATATAAAAGTCAAGTACATGCATAAATGCTCGCCTAGATTTCCTTTTCAGAGGCTGAAACTGTGGACGAAATGGATATAGTGATTTATCCATTGTGCTTTTTGGAAGATTATCGACGTCTGAAAGTCGCGATAACTCGAGCAAAAGGTACTACATTCCGGTTTACGTATACCGGTCTTAAACTGTTCCTAAGCAGGCGGACGTCGGCCCTGCGGTGCTCCAGAGCTTACGTCTTTTGCTTCGTCCCGGATCCTCCATTTTGGACTTACTTCCACGGGTGTTTGAAAGCGTTGATGGCTTGCTCTCAAGGAAGACTTGCCACGGGTCATGACTTTAACGGAAGATCCTTTCGTGATAAGCAGTGCTACTGCTGAACGACGACGGCAGCGAGCAGACAAAGAGCTCGGGTTTCCTGTTTCAGCAGAAAACGATGGAAAACCTGGGAAGAACATCTGTATTATATCAAAGACAGGATGGTCGAACAAGTAGGATTTGATCGAGTGGTAAGAAACTAGTTTTATTTCGACGATTTAGCATTTCTACACTCTAACATGTTTGTGTTTGAAGAAAAGCAATAGTGCCTGCGTAGAGTAGAGCTCTTGGGGGATTGTTCTTTCATCAGAACAGAAACGAAAAAAAAATAGACCTTCTCTACGCTACGTACGTGAGGATCGCTGGTAGAACGAGTGCTACTGCCAGATGATAAAGCTTTGGGATCGTCATGGAGGTGGAGGATGGTGTAGGCGCTGGGGGAGCGTCTGCAAAGCAAAAGCCTTGAGGAAGAAAAGAAGGAAAACTAGAGGGACTTTACCTCCTCCTGGAATCATCGGTGGCATTCCTGGCATCCATGGCATCGGCGGCATCTCACCTCCCGGTACCATTCCTGGCATTGGTGCCATTCCAGTCCCTGGAAATCCTGGAAAGCCTGCGAGAAGAGAAAGCAAAAAAAAAAACTTTGTCAAAGAGCTTACTTGTGTTTCCACACTTACCATCACACTTGTGGACGTCCGCCTTGAGATTACAGAGCGCTGGGAGCTGCAAAGCAACAGTAGCGTTGATGTTTGGATCGTTTCTCTGCGCAGCGTCCGCGGCAACATAGCACAGGCAGATGGGATCGTCCTTCAAAAGCTCCGCGATCGCACTGCAGCACTGAGGAGTGGGAGGACTCCCGCTTCCCTTCACCGCTGGCATGCATGGAAGCAACGCGATTATGTCCGGAGCGCATTGCTTGGCATAGTCTGGAGCTTGAGCCACCTCCTCGGCCGCGGTCACTGCAGAAAGAAACGTTACGATCGCTGTGACAATCACCAGGCCTGTGACTTCCATCTCTGGGAAATGAAATGAAGATGGTCGGTCTCAAAGCTTCGGATCTTATTACCGCGGTAAAGGACAGCGTCGTCACCTTGGACGGTCCGTCACAATGCCGGTTTTCTCTATGCTGAGAACATATAGGATGAAATTATAATACGCGTGAAGGAACCAGCTCGCTCCTACTGGCAAGAAGGAAAAAAACAGTGAATTAGTTTGTAAGATCTGCAAAGATGGCTACGACTACTACCTTTTACATCAAGGCCCGGCCCTGGCAGCTTTCACCTTGGACGAACTCCAGCACGGTTTGTTTTAGTTCCGAGTGATGAGAACTATAACCGTGATCAGCTCCCTCCACGATTCTGAGAGTGTGATTTGGTACGTGCTTGTCAAACTCGTATGCATCTTCCACGGTCACAACCTCGTCCTCCGAGCCATGTATCGTTAGCACTCTGTGAAGCGGTGGAAGCCAAAAGATTAAAACCAAAGAAAGGAAGAACGAAGGCAAACTTTTGAGTACCTGCAGTTGCTTGGGATTTTTCCCACCTCGCCAAACATATCGATGGAGAGTCTTTGCATAAGGTTCTCCTTTGTGACATTGAAGTCGCCTGAAAAAAGCAATACATAGATGAAACCATGCATTTTGATAGTTCGAGGAGATCTTACCTTGTTTATCTCTAACGGTGACGAAACCTTCACGATCCAGGCGCCCCATAAAGTCACTTCCAAGCCGTGACTTGAGGCCTCTCTTGAGCAAACCACGTCCACTGCAATTCACGACGAGAGGAACATCGCCATACTTGGAAGAATATAGCAACACCGCATTGCCACCTACACGGCCAAGATCATCAAAACTCGAGAGCCAAAAGAGAGAGAAACACACACACCTTTGCTGTGACCGATTATACAATTCACGAGCCGGGTATGAGCCCTCCAGTGAAGAACCACAGCACGAAGATCTTCTACTTCTTGCCAGTATCCTCCATAAGAAAACTCACCCTCGCTTTCCCTGTGACGAAGAACAAACAATCTCGTGAAAAATCTCATTGCAATCGGCTCACCCATTGCCAGAAAAATCGAATCGGTACGTGCTTAAGCCGGCTTCCGCTAGAGCATTGGCTAGAACAACCAAACCAGTAGACTCCTGAGATAAAAAGAGGCCAAAAGAGGCCAATCTCTCGCTCTTGTGAAGAAGCAATCGAATCGAAAGCATACCTTGCTCGATCGCAGTCCATGGCAGAGAATGCAGAGGTCTGGAGATCCAGTATCATCCAAAATACCTACGAGCTTCTTGCCCTGGAAGTTGGGAACCACCACTCGCGATTTGCGAGAAGAGAGCCCCGATTCGACTGCTGGAGTTGCCATTGCGACGGTGGCGCCAAGGATCCGGCGATCGGCTGCGCGGTGGAGTGGAAAAGCTCCCGGGGCGCTAGCAAAAGATCCCTTGTTAAGCAGGCTAGCATTCATCGTGTTTAGGGTTCTTAGTCTCATTCTTGAGAAGGCGGCGATTCGCGAAGCCGCGCGCCATGGTAAGATTTCCTCTCGAAATCTCGCTCTCTTGCGATCGGATTTCTTTGCTTCTTCCAGTCGATGTTCATCCGAGTGAAGCGCAAGAAGACGACTTACTTCCTGCATTGCGATCCTTCCGAGACCGTGCTGGAGATCAAGCAGAAGCTACAGGCACTGAGCGAGAACCATGTCGATGATCAGCGCCTCATCTTGATCGCCAACAAGCTCGTGCTGGAGGATCACAAAACTCTCGCTGATCAGAAGGTTCGCTTGCAAATATTTCCCTCCCTTGTAGAATTTCGATCCAAATTTCTCCGTGATTTCTCTTAACCAGGTGGAGAACGATGCGATCGTTGCGATGACTCTCAAGATTCGTGGTAAGAAACTAAGCTAGTTTTTTTTTTCCTTTCTTCTTTTCTTTCTCACGAGAATCGCTGCTGTGTTTAGAAACTGGTGATTGGGAGGAAGTCGCGATTGACAAGCCCGGCGAGCATCCAAAGCCAGACACCGATGCGAGCTGAAAAAAGCAAAGCAACTGTATAGTTCTTCCTCACTCATCAGGTCACCACTCGAGGTTTTTGTAAATCTCTTTCAATTGGAAGCTTTGAGGTTCTTGGTATATACGCTGGCTTTCGTCTGCTCTGTTCCTAGGGGTTTCTAATCCTCTGTAATGCAGTGATTCTTAAGAGTAGAGGAGACAATGGTACTCCTGCTGCTGCCTGGAGCAGCAGCAGTGCTTCAGTCGTGCTGCTCGCAGCTCCAGTTTCAATCCAGGTATCCATTCACTTCCCAGAGTCAGAGAGAAGTTTCGTTTTTGGGAGGTCTAGGACAGTGGGAAGGAACAGGATGTAGAACTAGTTCTAGTGGTAGTAGTAGTAGTAGCAGGGTCTCGTGCTCCGAAGGATTTGTGAATGGAACAGAGGTACCGGTTGGGACTCTTAGTGTGGATAATGACAATGGCGGTGATAGGAATTCATTGGTAGCTGAGGAGCAGTGCTCTAGCTCTCCAGGGGCCGAGAAAGATAATCCTTGGTTAGAATTGACGAAGGCTAAACCGGGTACTGAGGTGAGGAAGAGTACGAATACTCTGAGCAGTGCTTTCAAGAAGTTTTTGTTCGTCACTGGGGACTCGAAGCAGCCAAAGTGGGCGGATAGGCGAACTGCGGTGCTCGTCGTTCAGAATGCCAGCAATTTGGACTCCGCGCTAACGAGGTACATACAGATCCTTTTTGTTTTCATTTGCAAAGCAAAAATGCTAACACTTCGAAATGGATAGCAGAGTGGGTGATAAACTGGAGGTTTCGGATTTAAATCTGCTGTTGCGGAGATTTGGAAACCACGGACGTTGGGACGATGCTTGCGAAGTAACTATTCTTTCCTCTTTACCTTTCTTTCTCCCTTGCTTAAACGTTTCATGTAGTTGTTCGAGTGGATGGAGAAGGCAGGCAAGTGTTCTGGGGCTTCGTATTCCACTTTCATCATCTTGCTTGGTAAAGTGGGAAGGACCCAGAAGGCCTTATACGTATACAATTCTCTGAGCGAAGAGCTTAAGCTGAATCCTTTTATTGCCAACTCCATCTTAAGTACGCTTGTCAACAACTGGAAGGTCACAAGGGCTTTCAGGTTGTTTCGCAAGATGAAGGAATCGGGATTTCATCCAGACAGCATTACATATTCCACGGTAAGCTAATTTAGCTGTGTTCTCCGTTGCTCATCATCCTACATTTTATTTTTCAGATATTTTGCGCCTGTTTGAAGATCCACAATGGTTATGAAAGGTCTCAAGAATTACTCGAGGAGATGAAAGCCAGGGGACTGAAGCCTGATGCCTACGCATACGGCTCGCTGTTGCGCGTCTACTGTGCTACTGAAATGGAAGACAAGGCCAAGGCGCTCGTGGAAGAGATGCGGTCTGAAGGTGTAACATTGACGCTGTACCACTACAGCTACCTTATCAACCTCTACGCACGCAAGAGAAAGCCAGCAGAGGCGGAGAAGATTTTTGCAGCTATCAAAGAGTCGGGTCTAGAACCAAACGAGGTACGCATGTTCGATTCGATGGTTCATGTCATGCATACTTCCCTCTATTTTACAGATTGTTTATCGCTCGCTGCTTAACGTTTACGGTCGTAGCGGTCTTCTCGAGAAAGCTAGAAAGACAATTGCTGAAATTCAAGCTTCAGGAATGCACCCTGACATGGTATGTATTCTGCAAAACTTTTTATTACCTTCTCATCATCCTGCAGATTATGTACTCGTGTGTGATGGATGCGTACGTCAGTTTGGGGAAAGTATACGAGGCTCACGAGATCCTTGTTGACATGAGTCGTAAAGGAGTTAGGCCAGGTAAGTTCTAGTTTCTTTGTTTTGGACAGAACAATTGTTTCAAGATCTGTGCTTATTCCAGGTGGTAACGCGTATAGTATATTGATATGGGGCTACGGAAGCATTGGCGACTTGGACATGGTGGACAAACTGGCCGCCGAGAGCCAGACTAGACGGAAAGGCAAACAAGACGTGAGACTCTTTAACTCGCTCTTAAAAGCGTACTCCAAACTCCAGCATGACGATGGCATCACAAACACACTGGAGAAAATGGACGACGAAGGGATAATGCCGAACAAAGGCAGCTTCAACATCTTGATTGAGCACCTTTGCGAGAGAAGAATGTTCGGCCTGGCGTTACGAACGTACAGGGACATGAAAAACAGGGGTCTCAGACCAAATGCCGTAAGCTCGTCAGCTTCTGTGCTTTGAAAACTCTCACACACTTTTCTTTTGTGGCTTGCTCAGGGAACGTATTCGAGGCTCTTGTCCGGGCTGACGAACGCGGCGCACCTAGAACAGGATCGTCCTCAGTCACACCTCTCGGAAATCCTCTCAGCAGCCGAGCACCGACACGAAAAAGGCGTCGATCTGCTGTCCGAGGCCTACAGGATTTTCAAAGAGATGCAAACTTCGGAGGTTTACTGCCATGAGCCAGCACTGGAGCAATTCATAGAGGCCAACGCGGTAGCCAAGAACTGGCCAGTGGCCGTGGAGGCACTCGGCGAGATGAGGAAAGCTCGCCTCAAACCCAGCAAGGTTTGTATCAATGCGTTTGTTCTTGTTTGTTGAAGTTCGGTAGTTTCGTGATCTTTTTGCTCTCTCTCCTGTGTAGGTGCTCCTGGAATTCCTCTTGTCTAAAGCGGCGGAGGACAAACACTATGGAGCGATGAGCGAATTGCTGAGGCATGTCAAATCTCAGGGCTGCGCTCTAAATCCCGAGCTTTTGGAGATGGTGAAGCAGAAATTTGTGGAGCTGGATCAAGTAAAAGGAGTTCTTGACAACTTGTAAGAAAAATGAGAAGCACAATTGTATTGTATTGTATGTTCTGATTTAGACCTTGCAGCATAAGAGAGAGTCTATGACATTTCGACTTTATAATTCTTTTCTAGAAAAGGTGTCTGGGCTGATGCTGAAAACTTCCAGTCAAGTGTACGCTTTCATAATTTTGTAAGCCGAGTTTCTGGGATCTGGCTTCTAGTAAGATTTCGCAAGTAACTAAAATACTTTTGAGATAAAAACTTTTGTTAAGACATGTTTTCTTTTTATTTCAAATTTTACTTTTTACTTCTCGATGCTGATAATTAAATCAGCCTCTGCAAATTTGACTGGACATGATAACATGTCGATTTAGTTTCAGTAAATACTGCATGACGCTGAACAGGTCGACGGTTTCAACCGCATTCCTGCAGAGAAGTACACTTCTCGAAAAAACGGGCTCAAGAATACTTTCCCATCTCCCCAAGAGCTGCGTTACTCATGCAGCATATCCTCGGCCTCTGAAACCCGTGGCTCGTCTTCTCCAGCCTCCATTCTCCGCAAAACAATCTCCCGTTCTAGCAACAAAAACTCCTGCACATTGTACAAAGCTTCCCTGTAATGTAATCTGTTTGGACAAATGCGATAATACCTCTAGCTGACTGCCGCTAAACAGTCCCTGAAGAGCTCCTGACGCAACCAGTTGTATTAGATCGTCCTCAGGATCATCACTAGCTGCCATTTCAGAGACCGGAAGCCAGGCACGAATCTGAAACAAGTTCCAGGATGAGCACGATGGGCAAGGAATTGCAAATTAAATTTGACGCACCTGCATGCATCGTAGCACAAGTTCTGGAAGGCAGCAACGACGGCAAATACCCCGCGCCACGAATGGAGCATCCCGGCGTACACCATCCGAGTGAATAGAAAACGCATCCATTCGAAGAACTTCTATCGCAACACCAGGATGGAAATGTGGAAGTTCTCCTGCAATGAAAGAAAAAAACAAGGAAATAAATCCTGATGGCCAGTTTGAAAAGTAAACCTTTAATGCCAGCAGCCATGATTGCTGACAGAAATCCACCATCACTTGATACAAGTGATTCAATGCCTTCCCCTTCAAGAGCCGCACATTTGAGCTCTATGTCCAGTAACATATTGTTCTGAGGATTGACAGCCACATTCACCTGTTTCACTCGAGTCGTAAGATTACAGACACACGAGATAAGAGTTCTTTTTACCGTCAAGTTACGTTGACTGGAAGCCAGCTCTCCCATGCACAAATACAATGCGCTGTTCAGAGCAGTGCAAACTGTAGGGTCTGGAACAAAGTAAGGATCCGATGGTCTCGATAAAACGACAGTGGCAAAAAGTTCCACGGATTCGAAGGCTTCATCGTTAATGACTTCAGATCCCAGAAGCCACTTTCCTTCGCTATCTGGAAACAAAAATGTGAGAACAACATAGGCTGAAGGATAACTTACTGTGAAGAAAAGCAGTGGCTGTGTCAAGGGCTTGTCTCGCAGTAGCAAAAGACTTTGCTCTTTCTTCGGGTGAACTGAAGTTCTCAATTGTTGATAGCCAGCTTCGATAATGTGCGTCGCAAGAAAAGTATTCTTGCTGAAAGAACAACTTTTATACATACCAGGAAAGAAAAAAAAAAGCCAGGCAGCAGCGTACCCAATCAAGAAACTCTTGGTAGTTTTCTTTTGTGTCGTAGTTCTCGTGCAGAAGTACAGAATCTGCTTCTTCTTTTAATGGTGCCGCAAGATGTCCAAAAAGTGCTTGCGAGCCTTCCGGAATCTCAACACTACGCCATAGTGACGTTAGTGAGATCTCTCGCAACAAAATGTTACTGCACATGACAGGAAAATCAATAGCAGTATTCAAATATCACACATATACCTGTGCTGTAAAGCAAGAGCAAGTAACTCTATCCTCATTAGCTCTGAATCTGGTAGACCTGCTCGAGGAGTAAAGCACATCCATTGCACAGAATGTCCTTTCTGTAAGTTTTCCACCCTCTCCGAGTCTTCAGCTTTCACATTACTAACGGATGGTTTGAGTTCACGCGACTTATCCAAGAAACTATAAAGTAGCAGATAGTTAGACTGGTGAGCAATATTTACAAAAAGAGTCAGATTACCTCTTACATATAGCCGACACGGATCCCTTTTTTCCGTCATCGTAGAATGGCAGATATTCCATTGCTGAGGAGAACAATTTACGTTTTACCATCTCGCTGATGAAAATGCAGGTCAGATTGAATTTAACAAACAGATAAACCACTTACCTGTCATTCTGCCGTAGCTCCATCATATGCACGTAAAGGTCCACGCACAAGTGCGGGGCTAGATGAGAGGCATAAGGGCCAACGAGCTCTTCCTTCTGTTGCGTGAACAGAAAAATCACGTACCTAAAAGAATAACAACCATAAACAAGTAAACGGAAGTGAAAATCGATCATACGTGTTCAGGATTAAATCTCCAACCAATTCAAGCCTGTCAGCGTATTGCTCCTTCAATCCTTCCGGAAGAATCGACCGCAGCACCAGAACCAGATGTGCGGCGAAACGGATCATTTGAGGATGCCCGTGTGGCCTAAGAGAAACTCAGCTTAACGCAAAATGATCAAAGCGTACGTACTTGATGTTAGAACTGTCGTCTCGACTGGGAAGAATCCACGTTTTCAGCATTTCCAGTAACGCTGCTATATCAGAGACCACAACGTGCATCTGTACAACGCAAAATCAATTACAACGTAAAGTAACAAGAAACTTGCCTGTATAAGTCGATGTTGTTCCTTACAGCTCCGTCTCACACTTTCACTAACCAGATTACTGAGAGACACATAAAAGGTCAGCACGGATTCATGATAAGACAAGATGTGTACCCAGAGTACAGCTTTTGAAACAAGTTGATAAAATCACGAGGTTGCTGCTCAACAACAGGGTCGGGCCAAGTGGAAGATGAATCGATCGTGCTTGAAGGATGTCGGTCAGAAAGCTCCAACTCGATTTGAGTATCTAGCCAAGACCTCACAAGAGCCCAAAATGCCGACTGCAAAAACACGATGGCTTGCTTCAGATTAGAAACACAGCACAATACCTCCCAGTCGGCGCAAACAGGTAACATATGGTTTACATTGCCACACTGAGCAGCAAAAACGGCACTCTCATATCTCCCCCCTTCACTTGACGCTATTTTCTGAAACACCTTGTTAGAAAACACGAACACAAGCTCAAAGTCCATACCTCGGAAGCACAAAAACAAGCCCATTTCCAAAGCTTCCTTTGGCGTCCAAGTCCTCCATCAAGCTCTATAGCTTCTAAAGCTCGCTCGTTGAATGCATTTTGCATTGTAGATGAGTAACCAGTCAAGCAGCCACCTAGGCTTGCAGCTCTCCACGCCTGAGAATGAAAAATAGCTGTAATTAATTCAATAAATAAGCGCATGGTTTTTGCTTCACCTGTCCAGACGTGCGGCACAGGTCCTGCGCTTCTGTGATTCTTCCAGCTCGGATGAGCTTCCACACATCTTCTAAAAGACCATCTTCCAGTTTCTGCGATAAATACGATATACGCAAGAAGAGGACCCGTAAGAACGAAGTACCTGATCTTCGGGATGCAACTGTAAGCCTTCTCGAGTTGGAGCATCAGGATCCAAATGTCGAACATAGTGAGTTCCAATATTTTTCTTGATTGCACGTTTTGTTTGATCCCACAGGCCTAACTTTTGAGTGTATGATCCCGCATACCATCCCTTCCTCTGTAACGATAAGGTCTGTAGACACGCATATACTCCATAGAAGAGCTTTACCTTCTTTTCTAAATCCAATTCCTTGGACGCCAGACTCTCGAGCCACTGAACAAGACGAAGACATGTTTGAGCAGTCTCATCGTTTCTTACAAACTCGGACGCGACTTGGGCTGATGTGCTTGCTTTCTGCCATAAAAAATATGTTTATCAGGTGAAACCAGAAGACATGCATACAAATACCTGATTGTCTTCCATGCTATCCTCTAAGAAACAATAAAGTCAGTCCCGTTGAAACGTAATAAGCGATGTTACCTTTTCCATACAAATGCCACAGAAGTGCCCATGATGAAGCCTCGGAATGTAGCAATTGAGCCTTCTGACGTAGAACCCTGTCTTCTACAGCTCGATGCTTCTCAGCTGCCTCGTCTCTGTAAAGAAAAAGCTGCTAACTTCCAGTCGTTTTCAGCAAGTTGTTTCACCTGACTGCCTCCGCTAGGTCCCGGCAAATGTCTTCAAACTCGCTCAAGAGCTCGGAAAGAGACGTGAAGCCTGTCAAAGAAAAACATAAGTGTATGACTAGAAAACAAAAGTGGTGAACCGTGTAGCCATGTATCCACGCCAGAAGCAAAGCGCTCAAATGAATCTTCTCCAGCGTCAGATGGCTGATCTGGTTCCTAGAGACCAATGCGGGTGAGAAGAGAGAAGAGTAGCAGCAAGAACCACACCTCTTTGACATGTTTGATTCGTGGTACAGCAACCGGGGACTCTTGCTTGTCCATCACTGGCTCTTCGGGAAAGCTAGGAAGCTCTGGCTCGGGACGCCGCTCCACTTTGGCTGGAATTTGCAAGTCTTTGGCAAGCTGCGACGTGCTTGGAAGATGCCGCGTCCTGTGCCATTGCTGCATTTCACCAGCATTCTCACAGGAAGAGAAACACATACCTGTATCGCCGAAATTTCTGCCTCTCCTTGCCAATCTCCCAGCGATCAATGTCGTCAAACGAGAAATCCTCGTCCATGGCGTCGTCGCCACCGTGCCAGTGCAACGCCGCTGGCGCTGGAGAGCCTTCCATTCTTCCCTCCTCTTCTCTAAAACCCTAAATCCCGAGAACCCTATAATTCGCGATGTGGACATACGCCGCTCCCTCCCCCTGGCAGGAATCGAGAGCCCCAGCGCCGCGATGATCCACATTCTTTGAGCTGGAATACGATCGCAGCAAGCACATCCAATCGAAGGAATCTGGCTCAAAGGGCATGCTCCGGATCATCTCCTCGATCTCCTCAGCGGCGCCGCCACGGCTGAGAAGATCGATCAGGCACGAGTAGTGCTGCTTCGTCGCCCTCATCCCATAATCCACGCTCATGCTCGCGAAGCACGCCTTCCCGGCGCTCGTCATGCCCGAGTGACTGCTCGCGATCAAATAGCAGAGGAAACAGCCCGGATCCACGGCATCGATCGTTCTTGCGGCGTCGAAGAGATCAAACACAGCGCTGGAGTGGCCGCCGTGCGCGTAGCCGGCGAGGAGCGCGCCCCAGGAGACAATGTCGCGCTCTGGCATTCGATCAAACAAAACCCTAGCCTGGCGCAAATGCCCCTTTTGGGCATATGAAGAGAGAAGAGAGTTCCAAGAGATTAAATCTCGCCATGGCATTTGAAAGAAAATTTGGACGGCTCGACGGAGCTCGCCGGACTGGGCATATCCGGCCAGCAAAGAATTCCACGTCACAAGATTCTTCTCTGGCATGAAATCAAAGACTTGCTCAGCTAGAAGAATATACCCGGCTTGGGCATATTCGCCAACAAGAGTGTTCCACGATACCACATTGTGCTCTGGCATTGTCTCGAGAATCATTTTGGTGTGCTCCAATTGCCCATTGCGAGCATATGCCGACAACATAGCGTTCCATGTAAAGAGATTCCGCTGTGGAACATTCTCGAACATGGCTTCCGCTTCTTCCAGATGCCCTGACTGGGCATATGCGTCCAGCATGGCAGTGCAAGCCACCACATTGTGCTGTGGCATATTCTGAAACGTTCGCTTTGCCTCTAAAAATGCGCTGGCGTCCACGTAAGCTGCCAGCATGGCACTCCACGACACAACGTTTCTCTGTGGCATATTCGCAAACAATGCCTTTGCCAATGATAAAAGCCCGGTTTTGGCATATGCTGCCAGCATTGCCGTCCACGACACTAAGCTATGCTCCGGCATAAAATCGAATATTTCCTTGGCTTTGCTAAGATTCTTCCCTTGTAAGAATGCCGTCAAAAGAGCCGTCCAGGCAATCAAGTTCCACAGCGGCATAGCGTCGAAGAGATTCTTTGCGTCCTCCAGATTCCCGTTTTGGGCATAAGCATCGATCATGGCCGTCCAGGTTATCAAGTTCCTTTCCGGAATTTGCTGGAAGATGGACGTCGCAGATGCGAGATTTCCAGAATTGGCATAGCAGTCTAGCATCGTCGTCCAAGATACAAGGTCCACCACTGGCATTCGCGCGAAAGAAATCTCCGCCAACTCCAAGTACCCATTCTGGGCAAATGTTAACAAGAGAGTATTCCACGAAACCATGTCTCGCTTTGTCATGCTATGAAAGAGTTTTTGGGCTTTGATCACGTCTTGGTTTTGGGCATAGGCCGATAGCATGATATTTTGCGTGACGAGAGATATCTCCTGGATTCGATCGAAGAATTCCTCCGCTTCGTCAACTTGGGCATTTCGAGTGAGCGCGCACAACATAAAATCCCACGAGAAGTTATCCTTGTGGTCGATGCTATCGAAAACTTCTCTCGCGTCTTCCACGCTCCCGCATTTCCCATACATCTCAATGAGCTTGTTGTGCATGAAAACATCGCTCCTTTGGAGCGTGGGCCGGATCGCGGCATGGATTTCTCTCGCGCGAGACAATACCCTGCACGATTCCACGAGACGGAGGCTAGAGTTTCGATCATTCATCTAAAAGTTTATACACAAGCTCTAAACTTGGTGATAGTTCTTCCATTTTATTTCACACAAAACTTTGGAGTACCTGGTAGATGTTCTTGCTTCACACAACAAAACCTTGCAAAGTACCGTCTTTCTTTTCTTCTTCTCGATCTAGTGCCTTAGTTCTTGCCTCACGTAATCCGCGGTAGCAGTCACGGAGATATCGACCGTGGGCCGCAGCTCCGAGCACACCTGCATTGCCTGGTGGACCGGATCCGATAAAAACTTGTCGAAGAGTTCCTTGTCGAGTGGAGCTCCAGCATCAACAGATACGAAAGCCTGTGAAAGCGAGATTTGCAAAAGTAAGACGAGGAAGAACGAGAATCTAGATCCAAGTTACCTGTTGAGTGAGGATATAGTCGAATCTGGGAGCCCATTTCCTGGAGCCCAGACGCGCTGTTGTCGAGCAATTGTCCACCATGAACGACACTCCCCGTGCGTGCATGAATGGATTCAAAGAGTCCACCGCCTCGATGATGCTCTCGTTCACCATCTCGGAGTAAGAATGTCCTTTGTTTCTTAGAATCTCGATCTGCGTAAACAAATGTTAGTGATACATGTGCTCTGCGGCTGTATTTTCGCGAACCTGTGCCATCATGACTGCAACATAAACACCAGCAGTGAATGGGTGCAGTGGACCCAAATCTCCTTCAGGCCTTGCAGCACGGACTTTCTCTCCGACCTTCCACATGTGCGTCTGATCGATCGTTCCCATTGGAAAAGCTGGAAGTCCACCTCTAGCCTAGAAAACATTACGGTAAGAAGTAGCAGTCAGGACGAGAGAAAACTAAAGAACGCTGAAAATACTTACAGAAAATCGCCGTCCCGCTAAAACCACGCTTCGGATCTCATTTCCAGAAGACACCTCGTCATAGATTTCGTAGAGCACGTCCATTGCAGGATAGTATGATGCGCAGAACGCAGCCTCGAATTCTTTCTTGCCTTCATCGCTCAAGGAGCGATATAGAGAAACCATACCCTGCCAAGGCCGAATGCTTATGGTTAATATTCTAAGAGAAAGAAGAAAGCGTATTACGAACCTTGGAAGAGATGGTCTTTGAAATTGTGCCAGTAACGCTCTCTACAGTGTTCTTGTACGCTGCTTCCTCCGACATTCCATTTCCCGTGTATCTTCTATACAAAGCTTCCACAAGTCCATGCACAGCTCCCAATAAAATTCCTGTGTAAGTAGGCACAATGCTGAGCTATAATTGTGCCGACATACTAGGCATACCTCGTTCGCCGTAGATGTCACTCTTGTACTCGTCTTCCAACGTCGTTACAAATGTAAATGGCGATCCCAGCGCCACGGACCATCCAAGAGCTACATCTGTCGCTCTGCCATCAACATCCTACAAAGCAAAACGTAGTAAAACTCTATGGGGGAAATAAAAAACAGTTTCAACGCAGTACCTGATGCACAGCGAAGCTCGCATTGATTCCAGCACCATTGACTTCTTTGCCCTGTACGTACAAGCGCCTCACGGAAGGTCCCATGCCCTTGGGGCACACCGCGATAACACTGATGTCCTTGGGGAATTTCTCGCCGATAGACTCAAGGTGGCCCAGTAAAAATCCATGAGACAGTCCGAGTATCGCTTTCGGCTTCAACGCAGCGAATATCTCACGGAAATTGTCAGCCTGACAGAAAAAGGGTAAAGTAATCTAGAAAAAAGAAAACAAGAAAACAAACCTGTGCCGCGTCGGAAATAAGCAGCAGAACGAGGTCACTTCCAGCAACAGTCTCAATCACGTCACCCAATGTCCCGTTTTCTTCGGTGAAACCAGCAGCCCTCGCGTCCGCTGCCGATTTTGATCCTTTTCTCAAACCGATCTGTATAGTAGAAAAGCATGAATCACTCCCTCCAAAAAGTAAAAGTAGATTACACTCACCTTCACCACAATGTCCGATTTTACTGCTTCAAGCGAGTCTCGTAGATTTTGAGCTTGTGCCGGTCCCTTTCATGCAGCAGCAAGAAAGCAAAATGAGCGAATCATCGTGAATAAAGTTGATCATAATTTACCTGAGATCCCCATCCAAGAACACCGATCTGCTTTATCCCCTTGAAAGCCTCTGGCAGCTTCTCAAAAAGATGTCTTCCACCACGAACAATGAACTGAAAGGAAACCATAGAAAAAAATTGCCAATCATCCAAATGCATGCCAAAAAATTCCCTACCTCATCTTTCCCTCCCAGCGTCACTTTCTCCTTGGTGAAGACCTTGGTCTCAAACTCCACCTCGGCGCCACGAGTAGCCACCATTTGCGAGAGCGCGCACGTCCCCAGAGACTTTACCCTAGACCCAAAACCCTTGCATCGCCGCACACAAACCCCGCCGCCGAGAAATCGCTGGGCGCCGCCACGCTGCAGGAATGCCGAGGACGAGGATGCGATCCCCTTGCCCTCGGATTGAAATGCAGGGCAAGCTCGTGAGGACGCGATGGAAGAAGCCGCCGCCGCCGCCATTGGGGAGCTCTGTGCAACCAGTGCTAGTAAAATGTAGCCCTAAAATCAAAACCCCGATATTAGGGTTCTTCGATTGTGGCAAAAATTTTAATGTTGGGCAAGATGATTCATTTGATTGGAGATAGTGGAGGAATCCTCTGTTTTTAGGGTTTATCCGAATCGATCCAAAATTTGGGGCTCTGTAGTAATCTCGCCATGTGTTGATCCCTCGTCTCACACGGAAATTCGAGTAGCCTTGGAGTGTGGGCCGCATTTCCACGCCACCAGCGCAGCACAGATCCATCGCTGTCACCGCGCAAAGTTTTTCTTTCTCGCCGCTCGTAGATCCCATCCCAATTCTTCCAGATTTCTCTATTGGGCGCTCGCGGCGCATCTCCCCTCTGGCGTGATTGGAATTCCAGCGCCGCCGTGCGTGTTTCTCTCTCGCGATTGCTAAGAACAGGAGAGTGTGAGCTATGGTGGACATCTATGAGCCGGATAGCCGGCGCCATGCCCAGGGCCACCACGGCCACGAGTTTGGCGACGATCCATATCGCTATGACGGCCAGCGCGCGTGGATCCAGACCAAGCGGGGCTATATCGTGCACAAGTTCAAGCAATGGACGGCCTCTCCATCCGCGAATTTGCTATGGCGGAGCTCCAGCTCCTTCGATGCCTTCTTGATCGCTGCCGCTGCCCAGGTACTGGAAAATTCTCATTGATTCATTGATTGATCTTGGTGTTTGGATTGAATTGGATCTCTTTGGTTTGCTCCATCTTGTGTGATCTTTCTTTCTTCTCACTGGAATTTCCATCTTTGCTTTCCTTCTTCCCCCATTAAGATCTTTGGATCGTTTCACTGCAATTTTTTGTTGGATTGATCCCTTTTTTGGTTCCAGATTGGACAAGCAATCACGCTCTTGCCTCAAACTCTGGCTTTCATGGGATATGGATGGGGTGTGTTCTTCCTCATCCTCTACGCAGCCTTTGGTTCTTGGGCAGTCTTCTTGCTGGTTTGGCTCTATCTTGAGTATAGAATAAGAAATCAAAGAGAGGCCAGGGATGATCTTCAAATGGGCCACATCCTTCAGGTAAATTATTACTATCCATGATTAAAAAGCTTAGTCTCAAATCTTTCTCCTTTCTGCAAATATTATTCGCACTCTTTCACAAATTTGGCTTTGTGTTTTTTATTTATTTATTTTAATGTTTTCTTTACTAACTTAGCTTTGATCTTCATTTTACCAGTACCATGAAGTTATTTACGGTTTAACCGGGAGATACTTGGGAAATTTGACACTCGTGTTTAACATTTTGGCTCTCGCAATGGCTGGTGTTGTTCAGCTCATCTCCTCCGCAAGGTAAGGTTTTTATCTAAAAAAAAATCCTTTTTTTTTATGAATTAAATCTTTGAAAGAGTTCTCGATGAAACTTACGATTGATCTCTTGCAGCAACTTGCATTACCTCAACTCCAACGTGCACAAACGCGAGTGGCAAATCTTGGTTGGAATTCTCTCACTTTTGAGCGTTTTCATGCCCGGTTTTAGCCACTTTCGATTTGCTGCTTTCATTGGTGTCCTCACGACTACGATCACAGCAGTCTATCTCGCGGTGGCTGCTCGAACAAACGGCCAGGTTCTCGGTCAAATTCCAATTCTCAAGCTCAAAAGAACTCTTTTTTCTTTCCAGGAGTTTGGAATCACTCACCGCGGAGCTGGAAACATGAGAGAGTTCTTCACGGGTGCCACAACCATCTTGTTTGCGTTTGGAGGACATGGTATAACTATGTGAGTTCTCGCAATTCTAGAGTTTGTTCTTCTTTATATAGAAACTTACTTGATCTTCCAGAGAGATTTTGGAAGCCATGCATTCGCCGGAGAAGTTTGGATTTGTCTACCCGCTAGCAGTTCTTTACATCCTCGTTCTCTCGATCGCGAGCTCCACCTCGGTCTACTGGGCTTACGGCGACGATCTCTTGGAAGAATCAAACGCTTTCGCCGTGCTGCCACCTTCGCACTGGAAGAGATTTGCAATCTTCTCCATGTTTGTACATCAAGTAAGCCAGCTTTTTTTTTCGATTTCCTCCACAGGTTTCCAAGTTTTACGCGAAACGTTTGCTCGGTCTTTCCTTTCTTTCTAGAGCATTGCCTTCATCATCTATATGTACCCTGTGTTCCTCGTCGCGGAGAAGATGTTTCGCGTCCATACGCGTCGATTCGCCTACAAAGTTTTGGCGAGATTGCCAGTAGTTCTTCTCGTGTGGTTCGTGGCGATGGCGATGCCTTTCTTTGGGACGATAGCTGCCGTGTTTGGATCTTTGCTCGTTTCCATCAGTGTCTACTTCATACCACTTCTCGCGTTCTATCTGGCTTACAGAGACAAAGAAGCCCAAAAGGTGAGAAAGAAAAAAAAGTGCCTCTTTCTCGGATGATTTTAAGCTGTTCTATTCTTTCAGGTGTCTGTCGTCAAGCTCTCTTTGCACTACCCGATTTGGAAGTTTTTGTTCCTCATAAATGCTCTGATCATGGTGTGGATTTTTATCATCGGCTTTTGTGTTGGAGCTTGGGCAACCATGAGTCAATTTATCCGAGACATCCACACCTATGGTTTCTTTGATAAGTGCTACCAGTGTCGACGATAGCATTACCAGAAGAACGCGTTAGATTTTCGTGTAGAAAAAGAGCTTACCAACGTTTCATCGATCACGCGAAGTTTAGAACTCAGTAGAAAGAATAAGTATTATGATAATTATGTATTCCATGAAAAAAAAGATGGAATGAAAGAAATACCACGTACAGTTTTTTCTTTTGTTTCTTACACTAGACGAGACAAGTACTCGTCCACTGTGGTGTATTTCACATCCGGGTAGAGTTTCGCCGTGTCGTACTCGACATCGAATCCGTATTGATCGCCTTGGACGAAAATGCAGTGAGTGATCGCTGAGAAAAGGTTATTGGGGAATGGAGTTTCTGAAAAGAGAAAAAAGATTTTGGTAAACTCGCTCGGACCTCCAGAAAGGAAGAGACATGACTTTACCTTCTATGGTCTTCAAGATAGCTTCCTCTGGCACGTAAGACTTCTCCAGGGTCTTGCCGATCTTCTTCTCCCAGAGCTCCACAATCTCGTTCTGGGACACGATGTTGGCCGGAGGACGGAAGTAAACCACCTGGTTGAGTGTTCTGGGATCCACCGCGGACTTGATAGTGTAAGTTCCAATATCTCCTTCCTCGACGATGACCACTGCCAAAAGTTTTCGATCGATCAAGAACTATGAGAGAGATCCATGATCATGTATACATACATTTGGTGTTTCCATCTCCCCAGATGGTAACTTTGTCTCGTGGCGGCGAGAACTGTCCGGGCTGAGCCAAGTTTGCCAAGAAGTAGCCGGCGAAAGAGTTGGTTGAAACGTATGTGTGAGGGATCCCGGCCTCTTCAATGGTTTTCCGGAGCTGGAGCTTGAGACCAAACATACCCTGTAGAGCCGGGTGGATTTTCTTGGCCACGGCCGGATTGTTTCCAAATTCCGAGGGAAGAAATCTCTGAGCAAAGAAAAAAACCGATCAATTTATGGGAATAGCAAAAAGGGAAAAAAAAAAAACCAAGATCATCGAGCCACAAAGGGGAAAAGAAAGGAAAGGAGATCAATTACCTTTACTGTTCCAGCCTCCTTGATCGCTTCAATGACTTTGTACTGGTCGTGGATCTGTGCGGGGCCGACAGCCGAGATGACAATGTCGACCTGCTTGATCGCGGCTAGGAGACTGGCGTAATCCTCGAGAGACCCCTGGATTCCAAAGGAACGCCATCAAAATCGGGGCGAAATTTCGAGGATTTTCTATCTTACATGCAAGATCGTGGCGCCGGACGCCTTGATCGAGTCGAGGAACTCCGCCTTGGCCTTGTCCTGGCTGGAGGAGGAGCGCACGAAGACGAAGGTAGGGTAGCCGAGCGCGATGCTTGCTTTGGTGATGTACTTGCCAATGTAGCCCGTGGCGCCAAGGATCAAGATCTTCTCCGCCATAGCTAGCAGGAAATTCTCGCGATGGACGAGGAATCAATCGAATCGACCGATCGAACAGCCAAACTATCTCTCTAGGCTACGCGATGACGCAAACATATAAAGCCCTGGCCCTGGCGCTCGATGGTAAAAGAAGTGGAATTTTTACCAGGTCCAAGGGGGATGAACCGGTGAACATGTAAGTAGAACAGTCAACATCTTCCACCTAACGAGCTTCCCTCTCGTGCTCGGTTGGTCAACAGTCAAGGCATCCACCGGTCAACGTCCCTTAGAACCTTCCTCTGGTAGCTACATGGAAACTAAAGGTCAGAAGTTTCACTGACGTTTTTACCCTTAGATAAGATGGAAAAGTCAAACAACGGTAAAAAACTCAGCTTTTACTTGACTAAAACGTCCGAGAGTATTTCTTGATCTCGTGCATGATCGACGCGACCGACACGAGATCCTTGCTCAGCGCTTCGGCGCCATCGATGCGTTTGATGCAATCCGAGAGGCGGGTGTAGTATAGGAGGAGCTGCGTGAGAGCGGCGCGGAGGATTTCCATGCCGCACACCAAGTTGCTGAAGGAGGTGATGAGATCCTTGTGCATGAGCTCGATCGCGGCCTTCCACCGCTCGCCGAAATCCTTGACGAGGGGCTCCACTTCCTGGACGGTCACTGGAGATTGCGGCGGTGTGCTGGAACTCGATTCCTCGCCAAGAACTGGAAATGCACTGGGTAAAGTTACTGAGAAAAACTAATAGTGATCTTACCACCACGCGTTTTGACGAACGATATCAAGGCTTGGAAATGCTCCCGAAGTAAATCTTCCTGCGGAGTGTCTCACGCGATCAGTGCGTAGGATTCATGAAAACGAGGAACTTACCACAAAAACGGTCGTGCTGCTCTTGAGCAGCTCCTCAAACTGTTGCTGCGTTTTGCCACCATCAACACCCACTTCCTAGAGATGACGACGATTATTCTTGTGCAATTTTTTTAAAAAAAACTCACCCTTAACACTGCCAAAACCATGTCGTAGTTATTAATGAGGAACACGGTTTGCTGCTTTTGTTTCTTGAAAACACGAGCCAGTTTCACGAGCAAGTCATCGATGGCAACTCTCAAGCGTTCCAGGTTCAGCTCCAGCTGTTTAGAACGCCGCAAGAGTTAAGAGGCCCAAGAATGCATTAAATTTCAACCTGGGTATCCCCATGTTCAGTGTTGATCTGGAGGAGTGATGCGGTGAATTCTGCGTACCTCCGCATGACATAGTGAGAATGCACGTCATCCTCCCACAGTGTCCTCACGTTTGCGGTCCGAAGGCTCACTAAATGCATATCAAAAACTGCCTTGAACCGTGGCCAGATGAGGATATTCAACTGTTTACAAGTTTGTTACAAAAGGACTAAAAAGAACAGGGCAGCGAACCTTATCAAAATAGGCATCTAGACATGGTACTCGTCTCCGGGACATTATCAGCTGCAAAGTCAAGGTGATCAGTGTATCTTTTATTTAAAAAACTTACCTGATGCTGGTATGTTATTCGTATCATCAATTTTAGCCCAATAGCATCATAGCAATTGATTAGAACCGCATTCATATGATCCTCAATAACGGAGAATGGCCCTGCAAAACATACAACGTCATTATCAAAAACGGCTTTTGAAATGACAATTTACAAACCAGTGAAAATTTCAGAAAAGATAGCATCCTCCCCAAAGAAGTTGCAGCAGAACAGATATCTGCAGTAAATATATTATAAATGAGACTTGAAATAAAACTTTTACTCTGATGTCGCCGTGTCCATGAGAAGCTTGTGAAGGCTGCGAAAAAGAACTTCATATGGAAATTTGGAACCACTGGCTTCTGCAATGTGGGGAATGATTGCCGGTTGATCAATTTCCTACATAAAAAAGCGAAAGTTTAGGCCTTCCACAGAAAGTCTTGACTTACAGACCTTAAGCACGTTAGCACGGTCCCCAAGCGCGAAGACAGCCGATTTGTTTTTCATGTTTTCACGACCGCGGGAAAACATACCAGCCCGCTCTTCAACACCGATTAAATCGTTCCTCGTAGCGATGTCTAGCTGCAGCTTTTCTAGAGACTGAATGTACGTTTTGAAATGCGCACTCAACACCTGCAGGACAGGAACGTGAACAAATAGGAATTCAAAGTTAGCTACAACCTTGTTCATCGTGTCTATGTATGCCGCCCGAATTTCTTGATAAGCCTCCTTTCCATGATCACGTAAAAAAGTAGCCAGATATCTGTAATGCCCCTGAGTATGAGAGTTTTGTAAAACACGTATCAATTCAAGTTAAACGAGCTAAGACAGAGAAAATAAACTACATACTTGTATTTGAGAAGAACGTTTTGCTGCAAGATTTGAATGTTCGTCTTCGGCTTTCGTAAGGCATATATCCTCTGGATAATGTAATCACGACCCTTGAAACAAACGAAATATCAGCTTTTAGAGAAACAAAAATGCATGTTTAGGTACCTTCGCTACGGATCTTAAACGTAGCTTTTCAAATTCAGGTTCAACATCTCGCAGAGCGGCAGAGCCCTTAGCTCCAGGATCCTCGGCGATAAACTGGAGCTTTCTGCTTAAAATCTGAAGATTCCGCACAAACTCTTCATTGACCTGCCAAAATAAAAACCACCAAGGAGAAAGAAATAAGAAACAAAAAAATTATCATAGCTCGCTTATAAAAACAAAATACCTCTCCATCCACAATAGCATCAATCATGTTTGGAGGAAGAACAATCTCTTCCAAGAACCTAGCCAGCTTAACTTCTGCAACCTGTATATGGTACTTCAGACAAAGCACTTAGAATGCAGAGGAAAACCAACCTTTCTGTTTCGTAGCTTAAGTCCCATAGTCATAGATTGCTCCTGGAGACTCCTTATTTCGGAGCTGATGGATCCGAGGTCCTCCTAAAGAATGCGAAATCATGTCTCCAGAGTGTACTGTAACAGTCAAGTACCTGAAAACCTCCAAGAAGCGATTCCATGTGTGTCAAAATGGAGTCACACTCCCGTATTTGAGCGTGGAGAGACATCAGGTTATCACTCTCTTTGATGTAGTCCTGTGAAAGCAAAAAATCATGAAAAAGAGAGCACGAGAAACTAGATGAAAGAAGTACCTGTATAGACTCGAGCTCCACTTGACGAAGCTTTTCCTCCACATCGCGAGCATAAGCTCGTAGTTCGCTTCCTTTTCCTAGTATGTTGACGACCATCTATAAGAACATAGACATAAATCACAGTAATGCGTGGTTTTGTTCTTGGCATACCTCTCGGCCTTGGTAGCTCTCTAGCTCCTCTTGCAAACCCTCTAGCGAAATATCCTCACTGCAATTCATACCATAAGAAGAACAATCCCAGGATCGAAGATTTCCACAAGGATACCTCTCGAAATCCTCGCCAAATGTGAGATCTCCAGCCGTGGCATTGAGATCAGCTGCTTGACTCTGAGGCTCTTCCAAATTCGCAGCCTTCTCATCCTGGAATCAATGCAGATCTATCCATCGATCGCAATAGGGTTGAAATTTCAAGAGAGGAGAGGAGAACTAACCGAAGAAGCGAAGAGCGGTGACGCAAACAGCTTCTCGATCGCGAACTGGGAGAGCTCCTCCGCAGTAGGCATTGGACGATCGGCATCGGCGGAGGACGCCGTGTCAGCGCTCCCTTCCTCGGAATCGTCATCGATCGCCGGCAGCTCGAGCTTGGCGGAAGCTCTCCTCGCTGCCTCTTCCACCACAGCACTCCCGGCCTCCATTGCCTTGCCCTGGATCGAGCTCCTGGAACAAAGATTTCACTTTTCTACCGGGGTTCGATTCTCTCTAGCTGCGACTAATTTGCCCCTCTCTCGCTTTCAAAATTTAGGGTTCTTCGTCTTCCAGGAGAGGGATTTTGATAGATCGACAATGGCGACCGGTGGTGGACAGGTGACTGTGGTGGCGCTGGACAAGGCGCTGCCGGCGACGCGGCTTCTGGAGAAGCGGCGCCTCATGTTCCAAGTCCAGGAGGCGCTGGAGCGGAAGAAAGTGGAGTTTGCGAGGTATTTTCTCTTGATTTTGCGGTGGAATGCATCGAGATTCCTGGCATTGCAGCAAAGAAGACGAATTGACGAGACGAGAAGAAGCCCTCCGGATCAAAGACCGGGAGTTACAGGATTCTCTCATTGGATTCTCCAAGTTCTTGCAGGTACTTCGTTTTTTGTTTTCCTTCCTTTTCCGCCTTCCTTGATCGATCGTTGGCATGTCTGTAAGTTTGCAGGAAAATAATATCAAGCGGATTCGTGCGGAGAAAAAGGCAGCTGATGAGATTCGTTTACAAGCAGAAAAAGTGAGTTACTCTCTTGTCTATCCATGGGAAAAAATGTGTGCTAAACTCTCGTGACACGGTTTTAGGAAGCAGAGATCAGACAAATCGAGACCAAGATAGAGCAGCTCCAGAACGAAAAAGTAGCCACGAAGAACGCTCTGGGAAGAATGATGGCTTATCAAAAGTACCTCGAGACCGTTGTTGAGGTCGCGGAGGAGTATCACGAAGTCAATGATCTTCTACTAAGGTGATCAACATGGCATTTGTTTTCTCCTTGATACTCATCATCTCCTCTCCAGGTACTCTACGTTGCTAAGTACGAACGAAGATCTTCGAACGCATGTTGAGCAATGCACAGATACCATTGAAGCGCTGCGGGCAGAGCTGCAAACGTACTACAAGTCCGCAATCAGCGAGATCCTCAACCTTGAAAACGATGTCACTCTTGCGAAACAAGCGTACGAAAGGAAGAAGCATGAGACGGCTGAGATGGAAAAGAAGATGGATTCGATTTTGCAAATCTCTGCTGCGAAGACACTCGTCCGGGGACAGGTTTGCTCCAGTATTTCGTTCTCTTTCGGCCCTTCTCATTCTGTCTTTCGTGCAGGCTTGCATGGCGGCTGAAAATCTTTTCGGCCGAGTATGCCATAACTCGAGAATAAATCACGTTCCACAGTCAAGCCCTTTGAGGCAACTGGATGTTGTTGGCGACTACGTTTCGGACACCAACGCAATAATCAAGGCTGTTAAAGCTGGTGCGTTGAAGAAGGACGAGGTGTTTTAAACATTCGGTGGCGCGAGGAGAAGTAAGATCTTGTCGTGCTTTGAAACTCTTCTTCATATGTGCTCACACATATGTAACAGGTAGTACACTCACTTCTACAGGAATTTTTCCGTGTAAGTTTCTGTTGATTGGGTTTAACTGTATAAACTGTGCAGCTGGGACATTTTTCTCCTGGTAAATTTTGTGAGCTTAGTTGATCACAGTTGTGCTGCGCTATCCTCGCAACTACATAATTCTTCCAGCTGCCCTGACAATCAGAAGTCGTACTAACACGAGGTTTGTTTTCTAGTCTACAACATCCCATCTAAATTGGATTTCCATTGTCCACTATTGCAGATTTCACTGAAGTTCCTCGCTCAGACAAAAGTTCTCATGTTCTCATGTAAACTCGTCATTCGGTTCTTGAAGGACGGACCGATCCTAGACGGAAGTTTAGCTTGGTTCGTTCATTTTCCCAAAAGGACACACATGCTTTTGTCAAAGCAGAAGTTTGCTTAGTCCTTTCTTTTCTCCATGGACGCAACCACAAGCCAACTCATGCGAGCAGATTCATGCAGATCATTGCGTTTTTAGGGCATTACATGAAGGAACGAACGCTCCCGCCATCAAAATAGTTGCCTCGCCAAATACAATTGGTCGTCCCTCAAGAAGATAACCAATAGTTTCATTGAGCTCCTGCCATGTGGTTGTCGGATTTGAGGATTTCGCCATGGATTATCATTCGAAGTCGCGTCGTTATCGTATAAAGCTAGAGACGCCATCCTTTACGGGATGGATGGCGCTTGCTTACAGGTTTGTATTGACCGTGAATGCCCCGACCTCTTGACTATCATCAAGTATCTGCACGGCTCCTCCTCGACCTAAATTCCGGGAAGGACTCTCCACGCATTCGTCAGTGGATTTCCAACAGCTAAAGCCATAGCCTCGCCGCCAGCCTCGTCCAGATTCTCCAGCCTCCCACACACGAGCCCCAGCACGCACGCCACGAAAACAAACCTGTGTCCCGCTGGACCGACGGAGAAGGAGCCATGATCAAGCTGAACACTGCCCTGGTTATTGAGGAGAGCGTCCACTGAAGGATACAAGAGCAAGGGGTGGCATGGCTCTGGATCTGGATCTGGATGTCCGGCAGTTTTGCGAGCCACAGCTTCCCTGAGGTGTTGCGAGCGTGCAAGGTTGCTTGCAGACGCGCCCGGCTTTAAGGATTATAACTGCTGGCTCGAGGTGAGACAAATATGTCGAGCACCAAAATCGGCCAGAGCATCAAACTCTCCCATGCTCTTGAAACAACAGACTCGTTGCCTATGCATCTCTTCATTCACTCCAATTTTAGTTTTCTTTATCCCTTTTCTCTATGTTGATATACACTAACAATATAATTGTAACTCTTGCTCTTAGATCATACATAATACTGAAAACTTGAAAATTTTCACCATTGTCCCAAAAAACATCCTCCCCTCAAACTACCATGTGTCCAAGATATATGGTAAGTCATATGTAACGCTAAGAATGAATATATATAATGGAAAATATTCAGTTGAATCTCTGTTTATTCCTTGTGGCCACAAGGTACCTCGTGAAAGGCATAAATTTCTAACCATTGGATTGAAGAGGCATATTCTAACATATCCTTAATCCAGTGGCTGAGAGTGAATTGTGGGAGTTCATTGTGAGTAGCTAGATTGTCATACTAACTTCACAATCCTATTCCTGTTGGGACTTCCCAATTGGAGATCCCAACATGAGATTTCTGAACAAGATTTTCTCAATAGATTTGCTTTGATTACATAGCCATGATGTGGCAAGCTAAATTAGCCGGTCCTTCCACAATAGAATGAAATCTTCAACCTGCCAAAATAAGAGTTTTTTTTCCTTCTGATGGGTTGAAATATTTCCCAATAGCTTAATTTTTTTTTTGCCAGAAGGGATGGAAAATTGTCCTGTTGGAAAAATGAACCCCAACAAGGCTGCCCATCAATACTTTTTTTTCCCAATAATATTCTGTTGGGAAGATTTTTCTTCTAATAGAGATCTTATAAAGAAAATTTCCCACCCGAAAAATGCTTTTCCCATTGAAAGTATTTGTGGGGACCTCCCAATAGAAGGATGTTTATTGGGAGAGCTTCCCCAACAAGCTTTTTGTCAAGTCAAAGAAAATTCTAATTTGCAAAGCCCTCAATTTAAACAATAAAACTATTGGCTATGTTTTATATAGCTCATTTACAAATGATTTTAGTAGTTTTTTCCTGGCTATAGGATCAATTAAAAGCAATTTCATTAGTAAATGGTATAAAAGAGTGTCAAATATGCTACTAGTGATCTTGAAATTTGTAGGCCCAAACATTGGTGTCGGAAGATCACGGAATGACTCGAACATGAATGGAGAATCACTCAGACTTCCAGCCTACACAACACAAGTTTTGTTTTCTAGTCTACCAGAATCCAAGCTCCATCGAAACTGGATTGTATTGTCTGGCATTGCAGGTTACTACCTCGCTCAGCACATAAAATTCTCATGCGATAAATCCAGATGATAAAATCATCTCAAAGCTCGTCTCCTTGTGATGACACGCTGATATCAGATGGTCAACCATGTTGAGCTTCGTTTTCTTTTCCAAGAGCACAGGAAGGTAAGCTTCATACGTCTAGTTTTGGGACCACTGCATTCGAGTTCTTTTCGCTTGTCTTGGTTTTCCTTGGCCCCATAGAGTCGCTCTTTACTTTCTTGTCAAAGCAAGAGTTCTGTGATCTCTTTGTCTTTGCATAGTCCTTTCTTTTTCCACTTGTCATTCTTATCATTTCACGAATCTGAGCTGCTTCCCGGTAGATGCAGATTTTTGGCGAGCAAATGCGCGAGGAGGTCATAAGCTTTCCTAGTAACAGCGATGAGAAACTCAATCTGCACGCCAATCTTCTACAAAACAGCCTTAGCAACCGTGAACGAGGATCAGGATGGTTTTCAAGAGAGGAACTCTTCAAAGCCTGACCACTCCAACTTCTTGAAAAGCAACTCTCTCTCCGGGAGTCAGCAGTGGGTGTTCACTTGGTGCGCTCACAACGCCAGCGTCTGCAAGGATCCGGCAAAGTTTCCATCAGGTGGGACGAAGTGCTGCTGGAACAGGTTCTGCATCAACACTAGAGTGGATCCTAGCAATTGTGGAGGATGTAACAAGCCTTGCACGTATGGCTTTAGCTGCTGTCCGGGAAGTGTATAGATTTAGTCGTGATCGAAAGCACTGTCGGAGCTGCGACAATGTTTGCTCCAAGCACAGTCAGTGAGAGTTTGGGCTGTCTGGATATGCGAGCTGGGAGAAGAAGAAGGCTTCTCCAAAGTATCCCTGGTAAGCGTGAAGAACAACGTGAGAACAACACAGCGTGGTAAATTACTTGAAAGATTGGGGGAATCACTTGGAAGAAATAATGCTGGCAGATTTCCAGCCATGAACATGGATGGTCGATGAAAATTCTTATGGAATTTTAGTGCGGAATGTTATCAAGTCTGTGTAATTTTTTCTTTCTTTACAAATGCGGTCTAGAAATGCTCAGAAATTCACATTAGTCTAAAGCTTAATCGGGCGCCAAGATCAGCTGGTCCGGATTAACTATTTGCGGATACTACCGAGCGTAAGGGGTTCTATTGCTGCTTAAGTAGAACTTTAATCTATGATCAAACAGGCGTTCTTGCGCAAAAGGTCTGGGTGTCCACGGTCAAATTCGAAGTGTCAAGCTAAAAAAAACTCTTTTTTCTTTCCAGGAGTTTGGCATCATTCACTGAGGAGCTGGAAACATGAGAGGGTTCTTCACGGGTCCCACAACCATCTTGTTTGATTTTGGAGGACATGGTATAACTATGTGAGTTCTTGCAATTCTAGAGTTTGTTCTTCTTCTAACATATAGAAACTTGATCTTCCAGAGAGATTTTGGAAGCCATGCATTCGCCGGAGAACTTTGGATTTGTCTACCTATTAGCAGTTCTTTACATCCTCGTTCTCTTGATCGTGATCTCCACCCCTCTGTCTACTGGGCTTATGGTGGAAGAATCAAACACTCTCACCATGCTGCCACCTTCGCACTGGAAGAGATTTGCAATCTTCTCCATACAACTTAAGGGTTTTTTTAATTCAGTTTTACGAATCATTCAACGGATATTCAGAGTATATACTTAAACTAATCACCATTTTCCTTTTTATCTTTTTTTATAAAATATTTTTATTTTTTGTTTCCTTTATTAATAATTTTAACAAGAAAATATAATTAATTTATAATATTCTTCTTATTATTAAATTTAATTGGATCTTTTTTCTCCTTGAGAATTATTAAAGCTAGGAACTATGACAATTATTTTTTATTTTTAACAGATATTTTTATTTACAAATGAAAAATGTGTAGAACATCTCGTCCATACATTATATAAACTATGTAGTAAGTTATAATACTTTTTATTGTTATAGTTTAATAACAAATCAGTATGAGAAGGTCCTGTACTAGATATTGCTATATGTAATTGTCCATTATCGAATTGAACAAATCCTCCATGATTATAAGGTGTTACACACTCATCCAATATGATATTATAAGCTTCAACTATATCATCTAGAATCCTTGGATAATATGATGTAACAACAACAGTTACAATTATATTGTTGGTGTAAGAAAATTCTGTATAGCCTGTATTATTCTCCTTCACAAATTCTACAATGTCATATTTAAATTCACAAACATCTTGCTGGTTATAGAATGGATTAACTAGAGGAATACAAGCTTTTATATATGTAGTGCTCATCCCAGATATCTTATTAACCAAATAACAAAACTACTATTAGGAAAAATTTAATTATCATTTTACAGAATTTGCCTATTTTGAAAATAAGAATATGTACACTGACCAGTAGTACATAATTTATTCAGTCATTCATCAACTTTTTATATATAGACCGGAGGATTAAAATATGTTTCTGTCATCAAGCAGCAATAATAGTGTACATATATCTACTTTTAATGGTTTCCACTTGGTGGGATGATATATCTAGGATTTAATACTTATCTAGATCCTATAACTATTCATAAAGTAGCAAAAACGAAACAAACATATTAGAATATTCTGGATGTGAAGCAACTAGGAAACTGCATTTGATAACTAAGTATGTTTGTCTTATTATCCTAACCTAGTGCATAACAATCTTCCCCTCACTAAAGT